TGTTTATTCATAAATAATGGCCATAGGTCAAAATCCCGTACCCAGTGAACATCCCAATCCCCACTAAAATAGACTAAAATGGGTGGTGCCCTAGTACCATTGGTTTTGACCTCCCCTCCAAAAATGGTAAGCCCCGCACAAAGGACCCCCCTCTTCAGCCAGCTGACAACTCCTCCAGCTGAGGTCCGCGCGTCCTGTGTCGAGGCAGCTTGGCTCCAGCCGAGAGCGGTGCAAACCGTCGCCCTGCGCGAGCCATAACAACCACCATGAGGACCTTTATGTTGAGAAACGCCCCTGTCCTGGCCCAATCACCTAACAAACATGTGCTCAGATTCTGCCGCATATTTTCTCAACCTTAAACTATCTCATCATTTCGCAACCAAGCAACCAAGCAACTAAGCAACCAAGCAACCAAGCCACCAACCAACCAATTGAATATTGGTCTCACGAAAGTCCGACAACATGAAGGTACGGGTTGGTCTGGGAAGGACATTGGTAGGGTGTTTTCTGGGAGGCCAACCAATCACTTGTGGCCTTTGGAGAAGTCCTTCAACCCGAAATACCTCATGCCTGCGCCCGGCGGCCACCTCAGACCAATATAGCCAAGCACAGGAAAGCACGGGTTGCGTAGGTTTGCGTGCGGTGCATTTGTTTCGGGACAACTGGGTCCCGCAGAATCCACATGTAGGGTTACAAACTCTAGCTTTAATGGACTCAGGACAACAAACTAGCAGGGATGCTTTTGCGGGGAAGGGATTGGGGGGAGCCAGGGCCCAATGAAGCAGGTTCATAGCAATTGATACGCACATAAAAGTCACCCACATCTTCATCCTCTTCCCAAATCCCTGCAAAGTGGGCTTTGTCTTCAACAGGAGAACCCCCAGAATGGGCTGTTTCCCTTCAAACCACCCCAAGAAAGGTCGCAAAAAGCCGCGCCTTGTTCGGCTAAATTTCAAAGGACCCCCCTCACAAAAAAAAAAGAAAAGATGGCGGTGACATGGGTTTGTCTCCAAATGGGTGAGCCTGAACATGGGTGATTTGTCCTTTTCGACTTCAAGCAATCCACAAGAGTACCCTTCGCACAAACGCCTCTCTCACATCCTTCAGTTGTGCCAAAAGGCATGCAGGGGCGATAACAGGCCGTCGGCGATCACCATGTTTGGCTAGGGACCCCGGACCCGAAAAAGCGGAAACCAGCACACCACTTGGGATCTAGGCCTCCATTTGCTCAAGTCTCCTGGAAAAAACAAATATTTCCAGCAGTGATAGATTCCCTTTAGCAACAGAGGAAAATAACACATATTCTTAGCCGAATGGAAGTAGGCCGTAAATCCCGAAACCACTCCTGAGGTCTCCTATCCACTTCCGACTCTTTCCAGCCGACAGCCAGCTTTCCGGCCTCGCAGAAGCGCGCCGGCCTTCGGTTGGTCTGTCCGTTTTCGGATCTGCCAAAAACGTGGAAACCCCATAAACCATCAGATCGCCTTCTAAAAGCGACCAAGATTTTAGTTGGTTGCATGGAAACCCAACCACCAAATCAACCAAAAGCCGAAAAAGCCGAGGGGACGCCCGGGCGCCGCCCAAATGGAGCTCCGCAAAAACGACCACAAGCCACCAGCTTTTACAAGAGCTTGGAACCTCGCTTAGAGGCTCAAGGCCCTAGATCTAGGAATTTGTGTTTTTGAAGTGAACCCCAAATTCACATCTTTTCAGATTTGTGTATCTGAGTCTGCCTCTTGGCCACACACGATTTGGAGTTGGCAATTCTAAATTCAGTACTGGGTGTCTGAGATAAAGTCTTGGCAATACTAAAATTAGAATGGGAAACTCCGAATTAAGTACTCGGTATCTGATAAAAAGTCTTGGCAATACTGAGATAATAATTGGAGATTCCTCTAAACTAAGTGCAAGGATCAGAGAGACGCTATTGGTCGCTTATAGCATCAGCAAGCAATTTGCGGTCTATGTCAACATAGGAGAGCCCCTCAAAAATTGTTGGTGTGTCTTGTGGTTTCCCTGTGAACCAACCTTGGAGAGGGCCATATGAGTCGCAATCAAAACCTGGTACTAAAATGTCTACCCAGAACCATGTCAGGATTTAAAAAAGAAAGGCGGCCGCAGCTATTTGTCCCTTACTAACCTTCATCTACCCGGGTTTTGATTGTGGCTCATATTGTATTTTTATCAGTTGTTCAGCTCATTCCTCTCACCGCGAGTCGCGCCCAACCCCCACCTCGCTCTTTGCGCGCCAAGGCAACGCCCAGCGAGGCGGCGCCCAATGCGGCGACTCCGCGCGTCGGAACCGCAGCGTGGCGGATCTGCGGGCGGAAGTGGCCGGAAGCTTTTCCTACAAACATTGCTGGACTCCAACAAGGGGCTATGGGGGGGGTGGAGGGGTGGAGGGGGGGGGGGGGGACAAGCCCAGGATAAGCCAAGGAAAGCCAAGCATAAGCCCCCTTGGTCCATGAAAGAAGGGAATGGCCAGCCCAGTAAATCCAGTGACCACTGTAGTAGGAAACCCGCTGTTTTTGTCCGCCATATTTTACGTGATGACATGGATGGTAGAATCCATCCGTATATTGAAATACCACCCCCCAAAACCACCGGATATTTCTCGCCCCCCGCACTTGAGGTACACGCCTCTTGAGGATCTTCCCCCCGAAGCTCGAGGGAAACCACCGAGACTCCAGCTCACGTTGATAACTTCCAGAAACCGGGGGAAGTGACCCCAGTTCCAAACGTCAAAGTCCAGTAGAGAGGTTAGAACAAGGGTGCCCGGATTTTTGTTTCCTGTCTATTTTAGTAGGGGAACCCTCCCCAAAAAAGAAACGGGTGAGAAAGGGCACTGGGGGACCTGGTTGTGGCATCCAACTGCAACAGCCAGAGGCTGGCCGAAGCCAGGCGTCGCAAAGGCCCCGCTTCTTTTCTTCCACGTTTGCGGCTCAGCCTTTGAGGGCTCGGAGTGCTATGCCTAGCCTGACCGGTCCCCACAATTTGGGCGAAAGACTCCAAGCAAATGGCAGGTCTCAGGCATACCTGGAGTCTCCTTCTGACCCTTAAAAAATGGTTGGTCATTACCCAAAATAATGGTTGGTCATTGACCCATTTCTAAAGGGTCATGGAGACTCCAGGTAGTGGCCAAACAAATGCGGTCATGTTTGCATGCGGTAGGCAGTAGGCAACCTGTACCAAATGCGAACCTTGCCTGCCTTTGCCGCCCGGCACCTCAAGCAAAAAGAGTGAACATCTTGTCTTGGCGTTTCGCGCGAAGGTCCAGTCAGGCACAGCCCGGTTCTCTCAAACACTCCATAAGTTTGCCTCAAGTGTGGCCACTGCCCAGCCAAAATTCCATGGGGGTTCTCTCTTTCTCAGACCCTGGTGACTTTTTTGGCAGGCACTTGGACATACGTATTCTCGAGGGCGCCCGCCATCATCGACACCTCAGTGTGCGGAAGTTAATCAAATGCAAAAGTACGGCTGGCAAACAGGGAAAGTGGATGTGTTTATTGCAAGGTAGCGTCACCTTGTTTGAAAGGGAAACCACCGGAACAAAAAAAAGAAAAAAGAAGAAGACAAAAACAACATCTTGTGGGGGGGCCGCCGGTTTTGACACATACACGTACTGCTATGGTTTTGGCACTGGCTCACTCAATCATTCAACGGGCCGATAGAACAAAGCAGCCGATGATCATGTCCCTGCCACATTTTGGCCATGGAGTACTGGTGATTTTGACCGAACCTGTCTCCACCATCCCCGGAACGCAGCGAGCATTCCATTGTCTGATTCCAAGTTAGACTTAAGCTCAGTTCATTTGTCTCAAAAAGGCTCAAAGGCCAAAGTCCCAGGATTTTAATGGATCATCCACAAATGGACTCTGACAATTCCGGATCCAGGCGAGTCTTGAGCTTTCTTCCAGCTGCCTGTTGCTTTCAATTCATATGAAACGCAGACCCTTCCGAGTCCTCGCCGGCTAGGGGTGCTTTGCTTTACAAGCGAAGGGCCGCAGCGCCACGTAGCGCAGAAAGGGTTGTGTACAAATTGAACCGCCTGGAGTCTGCGTGACCCGAAATAAACATGGGTCAATGACCCCTTTGTTCTTGGCAATGACCAGCCACTTAAGGGTCATGGACACTCCTGGCAGTTCAATCAAACCACAAAGCTTCCGCACACCTTCCGCGAAAGAAATCCCTTTCGCAACACCTTCCGCAAGCTTCCGCGCGTGTGGCACGGTGCACATGTTCAAAAAGAAAGTCCCTCTCCACGTTCAAATTGCAGGCAAAACACTTCGACGCTCCAAAACGGTCCTACCAGGATGGAAAGTTGGTCCGAAAACGCAAAACAAATCATGCCCTTTGATCAGGATTATAGCATAAGACCCAGAAGAACCGTTACTGCATGTTCGTCGCTGCTTATTCATCTGCCTGCCTGGAGTCTCCATGACCCTTTAAAAATGGGGTCATCACCCAAAATAATGGTTGGTCATTGACCCATGTCTAAAGTGTCATGGAGACTCCAGGTGTACATAGCGAGCTCATTGATTCGGGCAACGAGCGAAAAACCCTATGATGGGCCTTTTGGGATCCGAATCTTAACTCATGGATTTGCAATCCGCAGATTCCGTTGAGAGCAGCTAGTCGAGGTTTTGGGTGCTGAACTCAACTCCCACTGAGTCCCCGGGCCCTCCCTCAGCGCCAAGCTGGGATCAAAGGGAGCGGAGGTGTGGAATGGGCCACGGAACCGCGGCCCGGCTACAGAAGTTTTGGCATGAAACATCTGCCAGCTCAGATTCTGATTCCTTCTCGGTCAAAATCAGCGTTTCCCACCGAATCAGCAGCCTTTCTTTCTCACTTTTTTCCGCGCTACCTTCTGTGCTACCCCTTCTCGTTTTTTTTCATCTATTTTAATCCCCCCCCCTTTCCGGGTCCCAACAAAAGCCGCCAGATTTGCCACGCGCATCGCCACGCCGCTCCGCTGCCGCTTTTCTCTTTCGCCGCGATGATCATCGCTCCGCCGGCTTCTCAGGGGCCAAGGCCTCAAGGTAGACGTGGCCCTGGCACCGCGCGCGCTTCTTTCGCGCGAGGGGTTTCTTCCTGGAGTCTCCTTCTGACCCTTCAATAATGGTTGGTCATTACCAAAAATACAGGGGTTGACCCATCTTTAGAGGGTCATGGAGACTCCAGGTTGGCGCGATAGGTAGGGAATGTGGTGGAATGAACCCAGGAATTGGTCCCCGAAAGAAGGAAACCACCAGTTGGATGGTTTGAATCGGGGTCATTCCATTTCTCATTCCCTGCCGATTGCACCAAGCTTCTCTGGGTGGCTCTGAGCAAAACATGTTAGACCCTTTGTGACTATGGAACAAAAAACACGTTTTTTGCCGAAATTGTCCAAGGGGCGATTTGGTCACACCAAAGACCAGTCATGCGTGTGTGTGTGTGTGTGTGCGCGCGTGTGCGTGTGCGTGTGCGTGTGTGCGTTGGTCCTGCATTTCTTTTGAAAAGGGTCCTTGGTTTTGTTTGGGGTCCTTCTTGTTTTCTTTTGGGACGACAATACCTCTGCGATCAACTTGGGTAAAATCGGGAAGCCAACTGGAACCAATCAAGCGCAGGGTTCGGTACTGGGAACTGGGATTTGAAGGCCGTGCCTTTTGGGACCTTGACTTGAAATAGACATTCATGAGATAAAAAGAAAAGAAAAAGACAAAAAAAAAAAAAAACACTAAAGGTTGGCTTTGGACAAGACTCTTTGGCTTTGAAAGGAAAATCTGTAGGACAAGAGGGATTTGAGCCAAAACCCGCTGTTAAAGGAGGCTATCAACTATACAAAGAACCCATTTGTTGGGAATGTCCCGTACCCAACCTGCAACTGCCAGGTTTCGAATGTTGTCAATTGATTGCGGCCGATCAATTGAAATCGGGAAGGGTGTGTGCTGTCTGAAAAACGTTCTTGCCCAAAAAGCAAAAGGAGGCAGGTTTTGTCAATCTGAAGGACAATTGCGTTAGGTCGTTCGAGCTACGAAGCCAGGGATTGTCTGAGCGCCCAACAACACGAGACATGCAAACCCAACATGCCTGTGGCTTTTACGGGCATTACTTTGAACCCATTCAACCAGGTACTCAGTCGCCTCCAGACCACCAACATGGTGCCCCACCAGGGAAATTATCCTGTTTACACAAACATTGTCTTCCAGGACCACCCCCCCGCCTTCAGATTCCAGCTTTAGACCCTCTCGAGACCGTTTTTGGTGAACCTAAATGGGTTCTACGCGGTTCTTGGGGGCTACACACACATGATTGTCCTTTGGTGCAAGCTGGAACCCGCTTGCTATAACACATTTAGGACCCCTGATTGTCAGACTGCGATCGGGCCCTGCCTGGTCCCTCAGAGTGACGTAGCCCAGGGAGTTGTCCTCGTGGCCAGAAAAAAAGAGGACCTCGAATATGAGCCACGATCCATTTGTGCAGCCGGACTCAAGCCCAGTTGATGGCCCAACGGCAACCCCCGCGGGTTTAAGTCCCTTGGGGTAAACCCTGTTCGGTGACAAGCTTGGGATGTGGGTTCTAAGCAATGCGTTGAACAGCCATACCTGGAGTCTCCATAACCCTTCAACAATGGTTGGTCAATGACCCCATTGTTTTGGATAATGACCCCATTTTTCAAGGGAAAATGGTTGGTCATTACCCAACATAATGGTTGGTCATTGACCCATTTTTATTTTGGGTCAGATCCGGAGACTCCAGGTAGACCTTCATGGCGGTCTTTTGTCCGTGTCCTGCTCCCCTCGCACACGCACTCGCACGAGGCCTTGGTCCGAGCAAACCGCCAACCGCCAAAGAAAAGACAGCTTTCTCTGGTATCGCCTACGGGAAGTCCGAAAAAAAGACACACCCATATGGCTGTGGGTCAAAAGACCAAACCCTGGTAAATGTAAACATGGACTTAAGAGCTTCGGTCCCCTGGTGCTTTGATTTGATCCATAAACATATCTACAAAACGCCTGGCGGGAAAATCAACCCAGCCAATTCCCCCCCTCCCGGTAAGGCCCCCAATTTGGCCTTTGGTTGACCTCACTCTAGGCCTCATTTTGCCTTTCTTGACCCATTAGAGGTTGATCAACCTGGAGTCTCCATGACCAAAATGGGTAATTATTTTTGGTCATGCCCCCGTTTTTCAAGCTCCAGGAACCCTCAAAACCCTTCCGCCGCCTTTGAGCTTTGGTTTTCCGCGAGTCACCACTTCACCACTCCCCGGCAAAGGCGTTTTCTGAGCCGCGCGCCGGAGGAGTCGTCCTCCGTCGGCAGCTCAAGAGCCTCGACCATCTCCCCAGAGCCGAGCTTTCCTCGGAGCAAGGCGCGCGCCCGCGGCTCCCACGGGTGAAATTGCGGCACAGATGTCGGTCTTCTGGTTGGCTTCCCCATGAAACAAGCCCCAAAGGGTAGATTGGGGTTACCCCTTTGCTTTTCCTTTGAAATAATAAGCTAACACGGGTACCCTGAACAAGCAAACTATGAGCTATGGTCAACATATGATCGGCTTGGCACTCTGCCGGGGTTTTGGAGACACACAATGGCAAACCTCAGGTGCTCTCTCAAAGACAGCTGTTCAAAATTTGCCTTTCCCGTGCCGGACATGGGCAAAATCAACTTCGTCCCTGGTTTGTGAGGTTTGAAGTTCCTCACTCCTCAACACCCCTGGCCCCCCAAATGGACCATGCCATAGACTATTGTAGATGTGATGCCTCACAAAGACGAAGAGGCTTTGCAGCCTGGAATTACGCCCGCTTGGAGAACTACCCACTGTTGGGTAACAAAAGTCGAGTTCTGAACTGTGGGTGATTCGCTAGGGTATCTCAGGGTGTGATACATGGGTGTCTTATAGGATAGGGACCGCCGATAGTCAGAGTGTTAGTGTTGTTCCCTTTAAAATGACTCAGAATTAGGTACCCTCAACCAAGACACGGGCACACATGTATCCCTCAAGGAGGGCAGTAAACCCGATCATCTCCTCAAGGTCAGAAGGGGATGGTACTGGATCTGTCCTTTACGATGGTACTTGAGAACATAAGTTGACCATAGCTCATTGGACATATATGTCTTTCTTAAATTCTGAGTGGGGTCATTGCACAAAATAATGGGGTCATTGACCCATTTCTATTTCGGGTCACAAGGAGACTCCAGGTATACTTGCCTTTCTTAAATTCTGAGTATGGCTTCAAGAGCTCGGTTTCACCATGCTGGCCCGTTATAGCCAGCAAAGAGTCGTTTCAAGCGGCGGACTAAAGAGGCACAAGGCTCGTGATGGAATTTGTGGAGCAATCGAACGCTGTGGGCCCAGGAGCAGCAACCAGCTAATTGAACCTGGAGTCTCTGGGTCAATGACCCCATTTTGGGGGGTAATGACCCCAAATTTAAAGGGTCGTGGAAACTCCAGGAACCCGAATTGAACCAGCCATAACAAAAGGAAGCCACGGGAAGGGCCCTTAGCCTTCAATGGCCCCTAGTAGTCCCTATGTGTGCGTCTCTTTTTTAGGGGACCCCTCCAGAATGGTTTTCCTTTTGGTCTCCCCTTTAGACTCACCAAAAACGGGTACCCTCAACAGAAAACAGGCCCATTTGTCACTAGTCACTGGGCAATGCCCTCACTGCTATGAAATCAGTACATGAGCTCACCGACCTGCATTCATGGGGGCTGGGGAAAGGGAGAGGGGGGGGGAGGGAGCTCAAATCAGCCCTTACTAAGCCCTTAATGAGGCCTTATTTGGGCCTTATTTTGGGCTCCCTCCCCCGCCTCCTCCCTCCCCCGCCTCCTCCCTCCCCCGCCTCCTCCCTCCCCCCCAGCTCCCATGACACATACATACAGCTCTGAGCTGCCCACTCACTACGTCGCTGCTGGGAGATAAGCTGCTAGTCAGCTCGATACTGGCACGCCGCTCCGAGCATATGAGTGTGACTTTAATGCGGGCACGTGAGGTGCTGGCAATTTGTGCCCGACCACTTTGGAGGATATGTCTGGTCCGTATGAAGTGTAATATCCATATCACAGGGTTCCCGCACACATAAAACATCACTCCAAGAGGAACTCACCAAATGGGCCAAACAGGCGAGGTTTCTTTAAGCAACCCTTCAATTAACTGCAGATAGCTTTGGGTTGGAATCCCTCCATGCATTAAGATTGTGGGGAGACGGCAATCATATGTCTGTGCTGATGGACTTCATAAGGCAAGCGAAACTCACGTGGCCTAGGTGGAAAACACATGGACGGACAATTGATGAGAACTCAACTGAAACCAGCGGCATCTGCTTCAGCCAAGGGATGCCTTGCCACAAGGGAAAACCAGCGATTAGAAAGGGCTCCTGGCAGACAACTCGACATGATAATGCGCAACCCAGCTTTCAATCTACCACACTCATAAATCATGGTAAACGCTGATGTCGACTCTGGATGAATCAGCCAAGGAGGTTTGTCAGCTGTAACAACATGCCCCTAATTTACCAGGATGAATAATCCGTCAACGCAAAGGCCCCGAAGCAACCGTGAGAAGATTCCCATTGGCATTGGTGACTGGTCTTCCCTTGAACACCTGTCCTCCCCTGTGGCCGCAATGGCTGTTTTAACCCCCCCCCCAAAGTTGGTTGGTGTTCATTTAAAGCTTCCCGGAAACAAAACAGAGAATAGACAAACAAACCAGTACACCCAAACGCGAAAGTCCTTGCATTTTCGTGTTTTTCTTGAAAGTCCGCAGCCTGCCAGTAAAAACAACGCAACGAGTAGTCCCGGCAGGGTCCTTGCAACTGAGCCTTCCCCACTGGCACACGGCGCCCAAGTGTCTCCTAAAACTGCTTTGTTTGAGTACCACTACGGACGCAATCCCCATGGCACATCGCATGTTACAAGGCACTTAAACGCATTTTAAGCATACACGTTTAAGTACGAGTAAGAGGGCAATCCCCATGGCACATCGCATACCAGTTGGAACCAAGATGTTGCTTGACTATGTGTGTTTGCACGCCAAAAAGAAGGCAATCCCCATGGCACATCGCATGCTCAACAACATCGAAACAAGTCTTGCAAAAACAAGTTCGTGTGCTAGTACGAAGGCAATCCCCATGGCACATGCATACCCAAAGGCAACCAAACACATCTCAAAGACATCTTTTCGAAGCACAAAAATGAAGGCAACCCCCATGGCACATTGCATAATCAACCGCAATGTGTCTCCTAAAACTGTTTTGTCTGAGCGCCGCTACGGACGTGATCCCCATGGCACATCGCATATTGCAAGGCACTTCAGCGCATTTAAGCATGTGTAAGAAGGCAACCAGCATGGCACATCACATGCCAGTTGGGACCGAAATGTCGCTTAACTATGTATGTTTGCTCGCCAAAAAGAAGGCAATCCCCATGGCGCATCGCATGCTCAACAACATCGAAACAACTCTTGCGAAAACAAGTTCATGCGCTAGTACGAAGGCAAGCCCCAGTAGTAGTAGTAGTAGTAGTAGTAGTAGTAGTAGTAGTAGTAGTAGTAGTAGTAGTAGTAGTAGTAGTAGTAGCAGAAGCAGTAGTAGTAGCAGTAGTTGTAGTAGTAGTAGTAGTAGTAGTCGTGGTGGTAGTAGTAGTAGCAGCAGTAGTCGGAGGTGCCTTGTGTTAAGTTTTTTGCAAGTTTACCCAGGAAAAAAACGAGTCCAAAAACGAGTCTAAAACGAGTCCGAAAAGAAAGAAAACGTGCAGCCGGAACCCACCTAGGCCTCAGCCTGAAAAGCAGGCCGTTGAAACCAATTGATGTGTTAAGCAGACTGTCGGCCTTAGCCTAATACGTATTACAAGCACTTGTTGAAGATACGTGTTTTTCAAGCGTGTGCCAATGCGATTGGCCTCCCAAAGCCCCAGCTTCAACAATGCAAGCTGTTCTAGGAATCTTGTTGCGGATGACTGCGTGTGCCAACGCGCTTGGCCTTCCAAAGCCCCAGCTTCAACAACGCGAGCTGTTCTAGGAATCTTGTTGAGGATGATTGCGTGTGCCAATGCGAATGGCCTCACAAAGCCCCAGCTTCAACAACGCAAGCTGTTCTAGGAATCTTGTTGAGGATGATTGCGTGTGCCAACGCGCTTGGCCTCCCAAAGCCCCAGCTTCAACAACGCAAGCTGTTCTAGGAATCTTGTTGAGGATGATTGCGTGTGCCATTGCGTTTTGTGATGGGAGTGGGCCTCAACATTCAACAGCGCACCTTCGCCAAACACTCCTCAAAGTATCCGGCCCCGCATGGCACACCAGACACTTGGCTTTGTGTACAGTGGGGGGCTGGGCTAGCACTTGCGTCGCCAGCAACATCTAAGCCTGCAACTTCTATCACCTCGAATCCTACTGGCACACAGCTGAACAACACAAGGAACCAGACTCCCATGTGTTAGTTGACTGAATCTTCTCATTATCTTGGCCGGAGGCAGTGTGCCATTGCGTTTTGTGACGGGAGTGGGCCTCAACGTGCAACAGCGCCCCTTCACCAAACACTCCTCAAAGCCAGACACTTGGCTTTGTGTACGGTGGGGGGCTGGGGTAGCACTTGCATCGTCAGCAACATCTAAGTGAAACGAGTGTACCCATGCGATTTGATTCAAAATGGCTTCATGCCACACATCATAAAAGACAGCATGATCATGACCCTAAATAGCTTTCCCCACTGGCACACTGCTTGCGGCGCGAGATCATGGCTTGCGGGGCGTGTAACCACAAGGACCCAGTAAGTGTTTTTTCAGGCGTGTGCCAATGCGATTGGCCACCCAAAATGCCTCAACATCACCAACACAAACCGCGATCGAGGGAAGGTGTTTTCCATGTGTGCCAGTGCGTTCGGCCTACCCAAAAGACCTCAACTTGATCAATGAAACCATCTCAGGGGACCACGTTCAGCATGTATTTCTCTACAAAAAAGACCTCAATATCACGCAGCAATTGTCTCTTGAAAACATGCTAAACCAAACGCCACTGGCACACGGAGTTGCAACGACCCTACCGGATGCGTTTCGTATGCGTATTACACGAAAAACATGCTGCCAAAACCAAACGCAACGACTTTCACAGGTGAGAGTAGGAAGTTCAACCGGAAACTGGCAAAGATCTACAAATTTGTTGGGTGATTGACTAAATGCCAGCAATATACATGATTTTTAGAGGGCGCTAAACGCCAATTCTTGTCGCTCGCTACTCCAGGCACCGCCTTCGAATGCATCTGTATCTCGGAGACCAAGGCGTCAAGAATTTGGACAAGGTGAACCACCTCAGGATTTGCGAAGCATGAAGCGTCATTCACCATCTTTGCTCATTTGCTGATGAACATTCTTAATGATTCTTCTAGGAATTCATCATCCGAAAACAAGGATTCCATGTGGGGTACTGCTTCTCTGCACATGGTTGTGGACAAGCATATCTTTCTGGGATCCAAAGTGGGCCATCCCCATCACTTGGAAGGGATCTTGTTAACCACTCACAGAAAGTGACACTGAACCTGGAGTCTCCATAACCCAAAATAACAATGGGTCAATGACCAACCATGATTTTGGCTAATGACCCACCATTTTTTACTCGGGTCAGAAGGAGACTCCAGGCACCCAACTCCTCCCCCCAAAAAAGGTAATCAAACACCACGAATCACAATGTGTAGGCACTGAAGCCCAAGTTTGCACCACGTCTCTGTACCGCGCTCGCGCGCGCGGGACTCCCGTCACTCTCAGAAGGCCGCCCCTCGCTTGCGGAGGCACGGCCGCGCATGCGCTGGTCGCCCTCCTGAAAGAGATCCCGCCAAGTAGAGGTTCCAGAGGTATGGAGGTCTTGTACTACCTGGAGTCTCCCTAAGGACCCGGAAAAAAGAGGGTGGGTCATTACCCAAAATCATGGTTTGTCATTGACCCATTTTTATTTCGGGTCATGGAGACTCCAGGTACTTATGTAAAAGTATATAGCCTCAGCAAGGGGGGTATTTAAGCCTCAGCTAATAAATAGAATGAATGGCCTTGGAGTTGAGGTTTCTCCCCAACGGCTACGGAGTCAATCCGCTGACTTTTGGGTTGACCTGTGCCCATCCGGGCCAAAAGCCGGGTACTCACCGCAAGCGGATATCATCCCAACCGCTAACAAGGAACCTGACTGCGGGGTCCCAGAAAACAATGTTCCTCGAAAAGGGACCCTCTGGTGGACAGCAGAGTACCCGAGTACCCGTGAAATCCAGCGTAACTGAAAGAGGCCCATACCCGATACTTCAGCAGTTTTCCCCCCTTCACTTTTGGGCCATGTGTCGCGGTCCAAATAGCATTGTTATTTACCAACGTGACAGGCAGAAGAGCGAGCCCTTAAAAAAAAAAAAAAAAAACAAAAAAAAAAACAGGCGGCAAGCCGTCAGGTTCCATGTTTCTTGGAAGGCAGCCCAGGTCAAAGGGAAAAAGCCAACGGTGGCATTCCAGGGATGCCTAACAAGGTTCCAAGTTTGTTCGGGGTACAATGCCAAGTGGAGCGGGCCCAAAACCGATTGACTTTGAATTCTACGAGGATGGCAGTCAAGCCGCTAGGGACCCTGTGGTACTAGTATACTCTCTTCACAATCATCAAAGGCAACATGAGGCTTCCCCAAAGGAAAGTAGTCTTCCCACACACACACACACACAGCTCCATGATTGGAAGAAGTGTGGACCCACTAAACGGCCCGTCTGGGAATCTGTGGTGGGTGCTGTCATGTGAATGGCTCCTTCTTCTCCGTCTTGGGCTCTTCCAGGAGCTCGAAGACCTCCCGCTCCTGAAATCGGTCGGGACATAGGTCCCAAAGATGTCCATAAGGTTCAGTCATAGGGCTGTGAAATTTTGTGGGCAATTCTCTCCGGAATGGCGCGAAGGTGGACACAAATCATTCCAATGAAAAAGTCAGGCCTCTACATGTGTCTGTGTGTCTGTATGTATGTCTGTATGTGTGTCTGTGTGTGTGTCTGTATGTGTGTCTGTGTGTGTGTCTGTGTGTGTGTGTCTGTGTGTGTGTGTGTGTGTCTGTGTGTGTGTGTGTCTGTGTCTGTGTGTCTGTGTCTGTGTGTCTGTGTGTGTGTGGGTCTGTGTGTGTCTGTGTATGTGTCTGTGTGTGTCTGTGTGTGTGTGTCTGTGTGTGTGTGTGTCTGCGTGTGTCTGTGTGTGTGTGTCTGTCTGTGTCTGTCTGTCTGTGTGTCTGTGTGTGTGTGTGTCTGTCTGTCCGTCCGTCCGTCTGGCTGTCCGTCTGTCCGTTCGTCCGTCCGTCCGTCCGTCCGTCTCTCTCTCTCTCTCTCTGTCTGTCTGTCTGTCTGTCTATCTGCCTGTCTGTCTGTGTGTGCGTCTGTCTGCGTCCGTTCGTGTGCCTGCGTGCTTGCGTGCGTTCGTGCCTGTGTGTGTGTGTGCGTGTCAAAAGCTGTTCCCTTTCCAGCAGTGGAGGAATCCATGGTAGCGTTGGTTCAGAGAGAAGCCGACATCATTTGCGCGGTGAGTTTTCACACACCCACTTTTTGTCAGGGTTCCCTTTAGGGTTGCTTAAAGGAAAATCACATGAACACCTCAAGGAAGTGGACAGGGGCCTGTTCAAGAGGATGGCAGCTTTCCAAAACGCTTCTGTCAGCATGATTGTTGGAAAGGTTGCTTTTGACAAGTACTATTATAGGTATGAATTAATTGGGAACCCCTTGGCGGACATCATTCAGGTGAGGGTGTGTGACCACCAACCATTTGAGAAGGCATCCCTAACAAAAATCATAGCCATGTAACTGGAACAAATAGATTGCAGTGGCTCACGCATCACATATCCCAAGCAGAAAGCACGGTCCTCCAGCAGTCGAACAGGCGCACTTCCGCCTTAGACAAGCAAACGACACAAGGGTGCTGCAAAGACATTGTCACAAGAATAGAATACTTTTTCTGGTGAAGAGAATCCAAAAAAAGCACAAACCAATAGTCTACCCTTGCGGTTTGGTCATTGTTGTGCGGTGCGGTTCAGAGCAACCCTGTTGCACATTGTAAGGTTTAGTTGTCCAAACATCAGCTCACATTCAGCTTCAACGAGCCTGAAGTAAGGGATCCCATGCATGGTATCGTTCTCATAGGTGAACTCGTTCTACCCGTAGGTGAGCTCACCATACTTCCCTGCTTTGTGCAACAACCTGATCAAGGCTTTCAAAGAAAAAAAGGATTTCGGGAACAAACCCAAAATATCTGAGATCCACCTGGAGTCTCCATGACCCTTTGAAAATGGTTGGTCATTACCCAAAATAATGGTTGGTCATTGACCCATTTTTATTTCGGTTCATGGAGACTCCAGGCAGCTACCCCTCTTGTGGGCAAAACCCGGATTCTTTTCTCCCGGTTGCCTACGGGAGAACAAAACTGAGCATTTCCGGCGCTTGCTTTGAAATCTCAGCGCCGGGCTCCTGAAGCCACTTTCCAGAGGGACGGTCTTCTTGACCTGACGTGCCGCAAAAACGGGCCCCCGCCCACCTCCCCCCACCCCAAGGGAACAAAACACAAAACCTGGGAGTCCACACTCGCAAGAAGAGCAGTGCGAATAGGTGGTGGAAAACTAGATGGATGACACTGCTTTTAATTTGATTGATGTTCTTTTCAAACAAAAGGACGCCTGCAATAATCCGCTCAAGTTGAGAGGCTTCGGTGCTGAGGGCCTGGCAATGTGATGCTGATCACTTGATTCCACAAAGCAAGTGCCTCAGCTTCAGCACGAGTGGCCTTGCACTAGGCGAACAAAAACTAAACAAGCTGTTCAGCTGAAGGCATCAAAGATCTGAGGCGCCTGCCGGAGTTTCCTTTCAGGGTCACCCAGCCTTCTTTGTCATCTCTATAGGTCCTGTGTGCATTCACCCCGCTGTCCCCAAACGACAGAACAACAATGACGCCCCAAATGCAAAAATAACTTACAGAGCTGCGACACTTCCATTGTCACCATGGGCTTGTGCTGAGCGGTTGTTGCAAATTCGAGCTGCATCTGGGTCTCTGCATCTTCAGGTGGTCTCCTTTTGACTAGTTTAACCAAGAGCAAACCATCCTGTCACCCAAAATTAAAGGCTCCCCTATGTTCATCCCTGCTTCTGGTTGGCTTTCCAGTGAAATCAACACGAAACCCTCCCCATTTTGCTTGCATTCCCATGGATCCAACCGATTTTGAGGTCCAACCCGTTCCAACCAACCACAGCTCACAGTTGGAACCGCTCGGAACCGCGGAACGAACCGCGGAATCGGCTCGAGGGCGAATCGAATCGCCTGACTTTGACGCGGGAAAGCTTTCGCTTCTCATCTTCCTGCGCCTCCTCAAGAGCCTCGACCGGGCATGCGCGCTCTCTCTCTCTCTCTCTCTCTCTCTCTCTCTCTCTCTCTCTCTCTCTCTCTCTCTCTCTCTCTCCCTGGAGTCTCCATGAAATGGGTCAATGACCCCATTTATTTTGGGTAATGACCAACCATTTTTGAAGGGTCATGGAGACTGCAGGTCGCTTTTCCGTCAAGTTCACACTGCCAAGCAAAACGGTGTGTGCTTTTGTTTAAAAGGACCTTCCCCCAAAAGACACGGTTTTCCTGAAAAGTTTTGTAAATCCACCAAAACAAGTGTACCCTCAAAGACAGGCGCGCCCAAAACTGTTCAACCCTTCGCAATCAATAACAGTGGATGCCCTAGATATTGCACGCAAAGAACCATTCTCAACCGCAAGACCACTTTGATATTTTCCTAGCCAAAGGGTTCATGACCATCCCCACGAACCCGGGGTACAGGGGTGTACCATGGCTCACGTGGAGGTGCAGATCCTTATAACTCCAAAAGCTGAGGTAAGAACCCGATCACAAGCAAAGGACCTACCATGGCTGTGGCAAAACAATCTTTCGGTGATACCACAGGCCATCCCTGTGACTTAGTCATTTCGAGGGAATTCTCGTATCACAGAGAATAGAGTCAAAACCAAGTTTCCCAACCACCTGCTAATGTTCACCTACGATTAGTAATTGGTCTCTAATAAAGTTTTTTGGGGCCCCGGACTGATTAATCAATGGGTCCCAAATAAAGCTTTTTAGCCAGCCCCCTCCAAAAGCACCCAGCTCCCCATCCCAGCCTCTTAACAAAAAAAAAACGTTCTTGCCAACGCAATTTCTTTCTTTGGGTGATGCCCAAAATCCAAAACTACAGCAGTTCACAGACCTCCTGTGTTTGTTTCATCTCTTTGTTAAAAAAAGGGGGGTACCACACGGGAGCCTGAATCTCATGCAAACTTTATTTGAGAGCAGTCCACAAATAAAGTTTTGGCCAGCCCCCTTCCAGAAGCACCAGCTACCCATCCCAACCCCTTCAAAGCAGCCAAAGCAGCCAAAGCAGCCAAGCCGATTCCAAAATTCGATTCGAAATTAGCATTCCCAATACTTAGTTTAGTATTGGTATACTTTTCCAACTTTGTCTGAGGGGCCTCAGTTGCTTGGGGGGAGGGTTTATTAATCAGAGGTGGGCATTGCGGCATTACTTTGTTGGTGGCATCGCTCGTTCAAAAAACAACAAAAACGAATCAGTGGAATCGCCGACCACAAAGTTGGCGCAAGCCTCCAACTCGCTTACCAGGCCTCGAAGACTTCACCTGCCTCAACTTTCCGGACTGTCTTGCTGGAGCCTCCGGACACAGAAGGGGTTTACAATCACGGTATAGGGTAGACAAGTGGTATAAAAGGGGTATACAGGAGGTGAGAAAGGGCAGATCTCAGTACTGAGGCCGTTCCTTTATCGAAAGACTGGGACCTTTGGAGAGGAGACAACCCGCGCGCACACGCCATCCTGGTGTCTCCCCTGAATTCCCCAAAATGGGCGGCTTCCCATCCAAAAAAGGTTTTTCATTTGGAGACCCCCCCCCCCGCCCATATCTTGAACATGAAACATTTATGTTTGACATGCCAACACAAACTACACGAATGGCAGTTGGCCAAAGGTTCGTGGCATTTCAGACCAGGTGGTTCACGCTAGATGTGTAAATAATCATCCAACCCTGCTTGAGTCACAATCAAACCCGGGTCTTAAAGGGGTCTACCAAAATTCTGCAAAGCAGCAATTGCGCGGCCGCTTCTATTTCTGGGTGTGACTTGTGCCCTACAAAAGCTTTACACTACCGGTAATGTAACTTCCCAGCCGAGCTGCGCCCAACGACCCTTTCTGCAATTCTAAAAGATGGTTCTACTTGGTTTCAATGGATAAGAGTGAGCTCTATATCTTGGACCCTGGCCCCAAACACTGACAGTCACCACAATTGGGAAGATGATTTTAGCGGTTGATCTGAACTTCCATCACCTACTGGTGGGGGATCCAAGATTCTAGGGGTACCTTCCCCATTCTTTCCAGGGATCCTTCTTTCCATGAAACAATAAAAATCCCAGGGAAACAAAAGAATGGGGAATCAACCCCTAGAAAGATATATCCTTTAGAAATGCTAAAATCGATCAATGGCTTGGCGCAGTTGAGCTCCCGTGGCTCCGTGCTGACGTCCAGTCCGGTCGTCAAGGCCGTGCTCAGTCTGCACACCAGGACCTCAAAGATCCAAGGCCAAAACCCCACCTTGGCCCAGTTTTTAGGCGCTTTCACAGGTGGTTGAAACACCTGGGTGTCGATTTTTTTGGGGATTTGGACCCCCCGAAAAATGGTGGTTGTCCTTTTGATGTCCCTTTCATTTGTGGCCTCAAAATAGACACACTCAATTGATGTTCAACCATCTTCAAACAGGAGCCTGGCACCAAACGCTTGCTGCAGGCGTGGATGAAATGGGATGTTCCCTTGGGGTAACCACCCTGCCCTGTTTGGTGAAATCGAAAGCAACCACCAAAGGGAAACCACACGTTGGCGGGATACAGCCAAGTGGCCGGGCTGGCGTAGGAGACTTGGTGAGCTTTTCAAGGCACCAAATCAAGATGGCAGGAATTGGAATGCCCGTACGGGAGCCTAGGATCCTGAGAGTGGACTCCCCAATCTCGTCGCAATGTGACACGGGCAGGGGCGTGTCTTTTCTTTCAAGGGACACGCCAGTCTTAGGGTGTTTCAAACGCAAGCCGCGCCCATTCTTGGGGTTCCCACTCTGACACAACATAGCGTCATCAACAGGGTAGAACAAGTTTTGCTGCGAATTCAGCGCGGCAGACCATCCAAAACGCAAAGCGGCCCGCAAGAATCCCGCCATACAAGGGCTGTCCTCAGATCCCCTGCTAAAGGTTTAACTTTTGGGGTTCAATGGAAACCCCCACTAAACCAACTAAAAGGATCTAAAAAGCTAAGGAACCGGATGGGGCTCTCAGCCACCAAGACAAACCCTGGCTCTTCCCGGGCCCGCTTTGATGGGCTCCAAGATGTCGCCGCTGACGTCCTTGAGGGCGATGAACCCCGTCTTTCCGTCCTGCCGAGGTTTCTGGCGCTTTTCCTGAGTTGCAAAACAAAGTTCCGAGACCTGAAGTCTCCGGATCTGACCCGAAATAAACATGGGTTAATGACCCCATTATTTTGGGTAATGACCACCATTTTCAAAGGGTCATGGAGACTCCAGGTAGAAGGATCTCCAAAAACGAAAGCTTTGGATCCTCCAAATGGCCATGGGTCAAAACCCAAATCGTACCCCCAGTGAACATCCCAATCCCCACTAAAATGTGTTCTAAAATGGGTGGTGCACCTACCCCAATATGGGATCCCATCAGTTTTGACCCACAGCCAAATCAGCTGGAAAAGAGGATTGTTGAACTCCTGGGTGGTATCTTTTCAGGGACACTGAAACAAGAGAGTCAGGTTTCTTTCATGACACGCGTTGAACAACGGCATCAAATGGATTGCAATTTATACCCATTACACCGTGATTACACCCAAGGGAAAAGACACAAAGGGTATGGGTCCGTGCCAGATCCTCCCGTCCAGGTTGCAATGAAACCCACGAAAGAAAAGGCCTCTTCTAAAGGAAGATTGACTTTAAGGGCATCTTCAGGGGGGATTATCTGTGAATGACAGCAAAGGGTTGCAGTGCACATTCAGGGTGTAGCAAAACCTCAAGACAGCATCCACTGGCTTGTGCATCTGATACCAAACAACTCTGGGACAACTGAGGTTCGTAGAACACTTGAGGAACTCACTAAACCAACCATGAATCCGACTCGCTTGGGATGTACCGGGGGGGGGGGGGGTTCTTTCGAGCTGCTTTGAGGAACTCAAGCATAGATCATCGACCGTTGGACGCACACCCGGTCTCACGGTCTCAACTTCCGCAGTCCTTCACCGCCCTGCCTCTGACCCGAAGACACCTTCAGCACCGCGTCTGGTTCGCGCTACGAAAGGCGAATGATTCGGCACCCAATACCTGGCCTGCCCTCAGATACCCCGCTAATGGAAGCTACCACTAAACACTAAAGGGCCAAAAAGCTAAGGAACCGGATGGCTGGGAGCCATATATATACCCTGGGGGGTAAAAGGCTTTTAAAACAAAGGCCGTTACATGAACATCCTTTGTTTGACTAGCTGGGGGATGGGGGCCTGGGTGGAATTCCAACTTTACATCGTCAGCAACAAGCCTTTTCCACACCAAGCTAGACTTGCGAAGGCCTCAACGTTAAAGCAGCACATTTCTGCATCATCAATGGAACAATCATGCTCTTCCCGAAACATCCATTCAGCAAGACCTTTTCAAACCCAGCAGAAAACAACGCCAGCCAGGACGAATGCGAGTGGTTTTTCGCCTGCCAAATTTCACGGCGTTTCACGGTCTTTCACTGCAAAAAAAGGGCGTTCACGCCAATTTCACGGTATTTTCACGTTTTTCCCTTGTCGATTTCCCATTGCTAAGCCCATGATCAATGTCTCTAGAAATCCCACAAAGTTGAAGACTTTGAGCATTGACCAGCTTCAACATGTCTACATGGTTTTCGAGAGGCTTTGGGAAAGCGTACTTTTCAGCCACAAGCACTGCTTAGGCATGTGGCTACTAATGCGGCCAACACAAGACTGTCAACCCAATTAAAAGCGTCCAGCTTGCAAACAAAGGACGTTCCCCACATTTCACGGCCGCTTCCTAAAGGCCTTTCTTTTTAAGGCCCCCGAACCCCAGGGTATATGGTGGTTGATCTAAATTCCTTTGTCTCGAAACGGCCATTCTTCGCGAATATAAAAGTTACTTTCGCGAATCTTTCGCGGATTCATCGCCGTGCTCTTTTCATTTCTCGAGTCGGAGAATCGCAGCTTTTAAGTGCCAGCGTTGTAAGCAAAATGACGATTTCCCAACTCCAGCTGTAAAGTCGCAACTTTTCATCACAGGGGTAGTACATGACATGCGCCGGCTGGAAAGTCGCAGCTTTTCGTTCGCCGTGCAGCTCCAGCTTGAAGTCGCAGATTTCCAGTACCAAGCTAGTATACTGACTAGATCGGCGCTCAGACTATACCTCCCCTTGCAATCGAAGCCTGCGCTTTCGCGCGGGCTTTCGCGGATCTTTCGCGGAACTTTCGCGAAAAATCACCCACGTTTCAGAGCGGAAAGCCACCGACTAACACCCACAGACACACGTACACAGGCTTGGAGCAGTAACCAGCCAAGCAGGGTATCAAACTGTAGCCTCACCAGGCTTAATCAGCGCAACATCAACAAAGTGTTTTAATCAGAATAGAAGGAAGGCTCAGCAGAAAAGATGAACGGTTCCACATATCATTGATTAACCAGATACAGTTACGCAAAACTTTCGCGAGAAAAAAAGTTACTTTCGCAACTCCATCGCGAATCTTTCGTGGAGCTACCTCAACCAACACCGATGGTCACCGAATACTAAACTCCTTACAAGGACCTTTAGAACGACTCCCATATATATATATATATATACCCGTTCTACCCAAACGGCTATCAAGCTTTATACAGGTTTAACAAAAACATGAAGCCAAGATGTAGAACTACGTACTAAAATTTCCCACAAGGTGGGGCTTTTGGGCACATGTGATGTCTTCGGTGGTTTTGATGGCTCCCTTCTGGGCGCTGTTTCGAAGCAAAAAACCAGGGCAACAGCTCCCGTTTTGAAGGTACAGCCCTATTTTGAGACATAATTGAACCATAATTGGGTATGAACCATAATTGAACCCTTATTTTTTGAAGGTATAGACCTGTTTATACCTGGAGTCTCCTTCTGACCCTTCAAAATGGTTGGTCACTACCCACAATAATGGGCCGGGTCATTGACCCATGTTTATTTCGGGTCATAGAGACTCCAGGTAGCCCTGTTTAGACACACACCCGTTTGGGTATGAACCAGAATTCAATGTATTTCCAGCGCCAAACAGCGAAACCAAGTCCGAGCTTGCGGCTCCGTGGCTGCCTCCCTACGAGGGCCCTCAAGCACCTGAGCGGAAAAAGACACCCGAAAGCCTCACTTCGGAGAGCCGGGCTTCCTGGGCTTCCGACAAAGGAACCTTCTGGACGCCTTAAGTCTTTGGCGTCTTTGGTTGAACATTGCAACAAGTTGTTGTAAGCTGAAGTCTTTGGTGGAACCACTTCTTTTAGCATTTGTTCTTTTTCTTTGCGGGGGGGGGGGGAGGGGGTTGGAAGGGGCAGCCTTTTCGGGAACAGGTTCCTTCAATTGCAAACCTGGAAATAGGCCGACCCCTTCTGGGCTTTGACAACATGTCAACCGGCAACCCTTGGGCAAGTGGGAGCACTGGCCCATTCAAAACACCCAAACCTGTAAGGGTGTATTGAGGAATGGCCTACCCGTAGCAGCCGTAACCTGTTTTCTGGGTATCTCCCTGGGATGTGTGCATCTCCCATATGTTTCGCCCCCAAATAGGGATGCAACCATTCGAAGAAACATGTCCAAGGTAGCCAGGCCTGGCCTTGGCACTAGCGCCCGATGTTTGTGGGAATACTCAATGAGAGAATGGCGCCCCGAAAAAGATCCGCTTCCTTTGGGTCCCCTTTCAAAGGCAAGTGGTTTGTTCAAAGGGGGTTGCAACCCAAACATCTCCAATCAACCCCTCAAAACGGTCAGCTTCCTGTGGGTTTCCAACTTGAAAACCAAACGCGGTGATTCCAGTTGGCACTATGTAGCCAGGGCTTCTTGCCTCTAGGTTTTCCATGATGGTTTCCCTTGGTGGTCACCGGAAGCACTGCGAAAGAGATGTCCAACCCCAAAATCTCCCACTACAACCCGAACCTTGTTTATGCTCATTGTGACTTCCTTTCTGCTCAAAACGTCTCTTTTCTGCTCACAACAAGAACCCTGACAACCCGAAACCCTCGCGAGCGGCAGCCGCCGTCGCGGCTCGCGCCTCCACCACTTGCCCCGGCCGGAGCTTGCGCACCTTCATGCCGTCCCGTCTGTGCTCCCAATGTTGACTTGCTTCTGCATCTTAAGGGGAAGCGTCCCCGTTCTTGCCAGTCCTTCTTGTCGGGAAACAAAACAAAAGGAAACGGCTGGTTGTGGCAAAGAACCATCGTTTGAACAGAATGGGGAATCAAACTCTTATAGATTGTTGATGTTCTGCAACATGCCCGAAATTGGCTGAACTATGTCGAACAGCGAACCGCGTGAACTGTTTGATGGAAAGGAAAAATGAGCTGAACAAAAAGAAACGTTTTAAAACTCTTATCCCGAGTTGTTTTCATTGCAAATCCAAGCGGCGGTCTTCATAAGCATGAGCTCCCCCAATAGCATCCCCCTTTAAGTGTATGAGGTCTCATGTGTATACACCGCTGCAAATTTTCTGCTAGCAAATTCACTCGGCAAAGTTGCTGGGATCTGCAGAAAATAAGAAAATGCAAAATAAATACAGAAATGGGCCACTCCTGCTCCAAGCAGTTTGGGGGCATCTGCGGGCTGCGCGCGACTTGCGCGGGACTTGCGCGAATACTTGTTAATCTTTGGGTCATGGTGATGATGATAATGATGATGATGATAATGATGATGATGATGACGAATCATCACTGCATCACTTGCGCTTCACTTGCGCTTCACTTGCGCTTTACTTGCGCCGCCCTATGTTCGTCTTGCGCGGCCGCTCCTGCAACAAACTCCTGCCCTTCAAATTACAAGCGGCGGTGCAGCTCATTTGATACGTCCAAAACAACTGGGACCATGCCTTACATTGACACATACAACGGGTTTTCTTTTGCGGCTCAGAATTATGCAAACCCAACAGGACAACTCAGCAAAGATGTGTGTTGAGTCTGGAGTGTGGGGTGGTCCTACAATTGGAACCCCTTTCACATGAGCCACGGCCAGAATTTTGATCGTTCCCCCAAATGGTAACATGCGGGTGTCGTCCCCATTTGTTGAGTTTTAGGTTCTGGGACATTGAGTAAGTCCCCCCACGTCCCTTTTCTACATTTAGTCTGCCCTAAAAAACATATGTATGTTTGAAGCAGAGCCCAGTTTGCATACTCATCAAAGAGAACGCTTTAATCTTGGAGCTCTGAAACAAGAAACGAGCAAAGGGGATACACTCAACTTAACTCGGTTGCTTTATGCTCCCCTGCTAAAAGCTTAACGTTTAGTGGTTTGTTGGAAAATCCATTGGTTGACAACAAGTTAAAGTCCTAACGTCCCTTGGCAAAATGCAGCAAAGTCAAAACGACCCGTACCGTTTCCGGTGAACTCCGGACACACCAACCCGACCCAAGGCCTCTGTGCTGCCAGTCTCGAAGTCCGCTTGAAGGAGCAACTCCTCCCGGCAGCAGAGGAAGGGCTTGAAGCACCTGCGGTCGCCAATTTGGGCATTGGCTCGTCTTCTTTTTTGGAGTCCCCTTTTGGGCGGTTTAAGGGGAACTTGAGAGGCGGGTGAACGAAAGCTAGCCAGCCCAACGACGACATGTACGACTCAGCAGTTGCCAGTCCCCTTTGGGGCGGCCTTAAAGGGAAAACCGGGACAAGCACCTTTCTGGGGGTCAAAATCCTAGAAAAAGACACCCACCCAGTGCTTCCGGCTGCCTGTATAGTAAATAAACAGCTTGGTTGCCTACAGGCCGCTAGTTCCCAGAACCGCAACAAATGCTACACAATAGAGGTGAAATAGGTGGGTGCAACCGTGAATATTGGGAGGCTGGAACCGTGAAAAACGTGACATTGACAACCATGGGCCGGATGATTGCCTGGGACAGCAACCAGAACCCTCCGGACCGTTGCGGGCTCTTCGAAGGGAAGCCGAAAGGATGCTATTCGAACTCGAACAGTGAATATCTATATAGATATATGCTTAAACAAGAAGGGTCGCCGGGCTTCGGAAAGAGAGAGAGACAGAGAGAGAGAGAGAGAGAGCGGGAGTGACCGTGGTGTTTCCCGCGGGATCGTCTTGAAAGCGTTCTCTGACCATATGCGCGCGTCTTTATAGTGAGGATCTGTGCATGTTGCCGGGGTGCTTTGAAGGCAAACCAAAGGGACACCAAAGGGACACCAGTTATTTTCAGGAATTTACTTCTACAGACAAACCATCATGGATGGTGACACAAACTCGGGAACCCATGCTTGACCCTTTCTAGTATGTTTTTGTTCAGGGACTCTAAGAGAAAACCTCGGGCCATTCCTGTGACTTGAACTCACAGGGATTCGAATCCTTGCATCCCAAATGGGCCCAAAACCAACTCATTCTCACCACCGTGTGGGTGTGTCTTCTTTTGAGGGGTATACCCTTCTTTGTTAGTCTTTTTCGGGAAACCGGGAAGAAACCGCTTTTTTGGGGGACAGCCATGTCCACCTGGGACGTTCGGCAAGACCGGAGCTGCCTCTCGAGGAAGCTTGTCCCGGAGCTGCCCTTGAGCGACACCCAGCCTGCCCATGCGTCGCTATGCGTCTAGGTCTGAACAAACAAATGGAGGGGGTCAAAGGAGAGGATAACATGGACCATGTGGATGGGGTCCCTGATTTTGAGAAAGGCCTGTCAAAAGGACTTGACCCCCTTCGTCTTATCCAAAGTTTTCTCAACGGCACATGGTGGATTTGGATGTGTCTGTCCTCGTACCCCCTTTAAGCTTGGAGGGGGGAGGAGGTGGTGGGGGGGGGGGGCATTTAGGGACGAGCCCATACTGTGGATGGACGAAATCCGTTTGCACCACCTAACAAACCCGGCTTTCTGATTCGATTCCCCAACGCAAATACCAACAAATATGGTTTCATTCCCATGGTAACTCATTTCGTGCGAACGGATTTCGCAACCATCCACAGTACCTGGAGTCATGACCATTTCAAAATGGGTTAATGACCAGCCAGTATTTTGGGTTTTCTGACCCACCATTTTTGTTTCGGGTCAGAAGGAGACTCCAGGTAGGGCCGTCCAGCTGCAAAAAATTGAACATGCCGCGCCTTCAACGAGGTCGCTGACAGCTTCGCATCTCACGCCTCGCAGAATCGGAGGGGTGTCCTTCGAAGGTCCAAAATGGGCAACGCTACCGTTGGGCGACGCTTCATAAGGGCATCCTAAAGGGAATCTGTCCGGAAGATGGCCGGCTTCTCGTTGTTCCTTTTGGTGTGTTCTCGTCTAAACTAGCCCAAAAAGGGTGCCACACCTCAAGAGAGGACACATGTTCAAGCACCTATTGATAATGTGTTGCTCTTTAACAGGATCCCTCAAAGGATCCACGTTTAAAAAATCACCAGGTACATGCAGAAACCTTTTGAAACAACAGGAAACGGTGGTTTCTAATTTGCCCAACATGTGGGAAGGGGTCAAATCAAACCACCAGGGGACCGCAAATTCTAGTCCATGTTTCCATTTACCAGGGTTCCATGTTGGGTACTTGAGGAGCGGGTGAACGAAAGCTAGCAGTTGTTGCATGAGATGGGTCGGTGACAGAGTGGATTCATAGGTAGCTTGTGTACAACGAGAGGCCCGGCAAGATTCGTAGGATGCGACACGCAAACGCACATGGTGGCGTGGCAAACCTTGAAAAATGAAAACAACGAGAGGCGTCAGAAGCTGTCTTAAAGCACCTCTGGCTTCTGCATGCTGCGTGTGCAAAGATTCTTGCGAGGTGGTTTACTGAGAAGACTGAGGTCTCAAATGAACAAGCTGAATCGGTGGAACATGTAAAAGTTCGTAGCACCAAGTCCAAAACGGGCAAACCGAGACTGCTGAAACACTGAGCCACTGCCCGGGGGGAGGGGTGGACCAAGGAGGAATCGAGCCTGAGACGGGGGCGGGGGGGGCGGGGGGTCTAAATAATTGTTTTTTTTCAATCTTTTCGGCTCAAATAATTGAACAAATCAATCTTTCGGCAGTTGAGCCCCTTACCTTGCTTACGCAAGGAGAAACTTCATCTAGCTAAAGCTAGCTTTCGTGACATATTTTTGACCCACAGCCATGTATCCTTTAAGGAACCGTATTGAAGCACGCCCATCGCCCGAGGCGCCGGCGCATCATTCCCTGGTCGTCACACTTCCCGGGCTCCAAGACCTCCGAAGACCGAAAAATCACGAGAGGTTTCCTTAGGATGACCTGGGAAACGAGCGCCGCCTCGTTTTTTTTGTGGGAACTTTTGTGAGGAAAAGGCCTATGTGGGGCTGTGGCTGTCAAAAACAGGGTAACGCCAAAATGGCGCAAGCCCTTGTAAATGGAAACACTGACTAAAACCTGTGGTCCCCTGGTGGTGTAATTTTGACCCATACCCACCTGGGAAAACCGAGCGTCGCCTAGTTTCTTTGTGGGAACTTTAGTGAGTAAAAGGCCTATGTGGATGTGTTGGACTGGGCCTTTGATTTGGGTATGTCAAACTAGGAGGGACCCCCAAGAATGGGCGGTAAGTTTGACCGACCCTCATATGATTCTCTTCGATGAAAAACACAACCCAAAAACATTCCTCCTTACCGAAGACTACTCCTGTGCATGAGCTGTGTGGCCTCCGGCTCATAACTTTGTTTAGGTTTTACAAACGCAAGCCAGGTCAAACATACGGGCCCGTTTGGACCCTGCCGTGTGCCGGCGTTTGGAGGGGATGCCAAAGAAGGGTCGAATTATTCACCCCCTTACAATACGAAAGAAGCAACGGACCTGGAGTCTCCTTTAAAAATGGGGGCATTACCCAAATAATGGGGTCATTGACCCATTTTGAAAGGGTCATGACTCCAGGGAGGCCTTAATCTGCAATCAATTCAGGGTTGTTCTCATTCTCGCACGTCTGGAAGGCAAGTCCCGGGAAAACCGGGGTGACCGATGGCAAGCTGGAAGCAGTTGAGACATGGGTTTGGGAATTCACCTAGCCCAGTGATTCCAGGCGCTTGCCACTATAGCACATACGGGTTTCCCTCTAAGTGTTACACGATGGTCTCCCCTGGGTATCAACTTGTGTGGCAACCGGAAGCACTGGGTGGAGCCAGTTAAGTTGCAAGTTCGCCCGGGCTTCTGGAGCCAGGCCTTCACGTAGTCGCCCACTGTCAGCTTCTTCACCTGTGAGTCCGGGCGATCCAATCTTTACTGCTTGTGGGATCTTTGCTTGAAAATTCTCTGCTGGACATCATTTCGGTGGGTGATAGGTTGGTGGTTCTGTCCGCCTGTATGCGTATACAATATGTATATGTATACAAGTTCCTTTTATTTGCCTTCCTTTGACAGCCATATACCTGGAGTCTCCATGACCATTTAAAAATGGGTTAATGAGACCATTATTTTGGGTAATGACCCCATAAGCGTCATGGGGACTCCAGGTACATGTTTATAACTTGGCTTCAGTTTCCCTTGCTTGGGCGCCACGTGTGCGGGAGAGGCTCTCATGGCCAAGCTTCGACACACCTTCGGCCAAACGGCAGTAGATTCGTCCCGCCGGCCCAGGCGAAAAGACTGGTGGAAGGCCAAGAGTCGATTGAGTCGACCCTGATCGATCCTTGACACTCCTTCCGTGCTCTCGGGCAGTTAGCCCAACGGCGACTGAGGCGCAGGCGGTCTTGGCACTCTTTACTTCCAACTCGGAGGTCATGGTGATGTCCTTGATGCACCTCATGTAGTCCTGCAGTGAAGGTACAGAAAAGCCATCGCAGTTCAACAAGGGCATCCATTCGTGTTGCTATGTTTTCAAGGACAACCCTCCAAAAGAGGTGTGGAAACATATGTTTGATCTTACAGTCCCGGGGTTTCAACACTCTTCTGCTGCCATGTTTCACAGCGAGCTTTTGTATCGTGTAGGCCTAATGCTTCAACACCTCAGTCTGTTGTACTTCAGAACGCATGTTCGCATCTGATAGCACATGTCCCCCATGGCCGATCGCGAGGAATAACAGCTATCAAGTTGTGCAGTCAGCCCCGAGGTATCTCCGGATTGACTTTGCCGCAACTTCGAATGTTGAAGGGCCCGCGAAGTGGGGTCCCCCAATGCGAGGGGGCCACGAGAAAACCGAAGGACACGCAGTTCACCTCAGGGAGTCCAAGCCTTTGTCGCGTCTCCTAGGATTAAGTCATAGAGAGCGGCAAGAAGAAGAAACACACAAGCTTAATTCTACCGTCCTGTTGGTTTCCCTTCAGATAAACATATTGCTCTCCCAGACATAGAACCTGAAACAGGGTCCTTGCTAGAGGAACATGGTCTAGGGGTCCCTTTAAGGCTCCATGTTTGCCCTTTAAGGCTCGTTTCTCCAAATTAGGAACCCTTCCAGGTAGCTGCTTGCTGCTTTCCTTTTGGGGTCCCAACAAGGGGCGAGTCATAAAGGATCTGTTCTCTCGCCTCTCTCCATCTCATTCTTGTTCCACATCCAGTGATTTGTAGGATGTGGATAAAGAATGATAGGAAAGGAATGGGAAAAAGGATTCGCAAAGGAACATGTCCTCCTCTTTCCATCTCATTCCCTTTCCCGTCTATTACCTCATACAAGGGGTCCGCGATTTTGAGAAACCCATTCCGGGTCAAGCTTCCTTCAGCTTCCAATCCCTCCCAAAGGGGCCGGTTGAAACGTACGCCCCCATTGCCTTCCTCCCCTCGCGCGGCCTCCAGGAGCAAAGTGAGGCCCAGCTTGCTGAAGCCACCCACGTACCGCGACAGGCCCAGATCTAGCTCCGAAGCCTCGCAGCGAGCGGTCAGACCGGGGGGGTCGCTATTTTTGGGGGAGAGGACCCATGAAAAAGGTCGGCTTTTGAAGGGACATCGAAACGGACACCACCCGTTTTGGGGAGTTGTTCCGCCTATGTTGAGACAAACCCAAATTGAATCCTGCACTTTTGAGAGTGGGGTGCAGACCTGCTTGGAGGGTCTTGGGTGGTCTTGCGGGGTTCTTGCGCAAGTCTTGTCGGGGGCTTTGGGGTGTTGAGATCATCGGTGGTCTTGGGAGCATCTTGGCGGGCGGCATCTGGGTCCCCTTCAACACAGAAAATGGGGCGCATAACTCAGGTCGGGTTCAATCATGGTCTCGCGAAGTTGCCAACGCGGCAATCTCGTGATTGCTAAAGACGGCAACCAAAGTGATTGGCCTGTGTATTCCTCTGTAGGTCCACCAGACTAGAACCAGTGTATGATGACCTTGTTGCTGCTCGTCCTTGTTATGGTCATGAGAATCAAATGAGTGCCGCACTGAACACACAGCTCAGCAAAGGAACGCTGACTGGGGCTTCTCAATGGGAACCAAACCAGGATCCTCGCAAATCCAGAGAAGCACTCGAAATCATGTCTTTTGTCAGGAACCCTGGCAATTCCGCACAATCCTGCCTGAAGTTCATGGCAACACCAGCACGAATGCCGACCATGTCGGGAAGAATTGTGGAGTTTCAGAGAAACCCAAGGCTGCGTTCCAATGAATCCGATGGCTCGAAAAAAAAGAGCTAAGGATTACGCAGGTTGTAGTCTTTGTTTCCATTCTTTACCAAGGGGCAAAGGTGCCATTTGGGGCAATTACCATGTTTTGAGCCACAGCCAAGTCGCTACGTAGAGGCAGTGCCAAAACGAGTCCGCGCCTTGAGACTGTCCCCCAAAAAGGTCCGCAACTCCTGCGGGCGCTGGATCCAACGCGGGCCGCGTTAAAGACTCAAAATGTACTCCAGACAAAGTTCAACCCACCTGTTGATTAATAGGTTCTAGGCGATGGTATGGGGTAGCGCACTGCTAGGACAGGACCTGGTCGGGCCATCAAAGTTGGGGCGCTTCAAATCCCTCCAGGTGCCACCGGTACTGCTTACGCCGTGCCGTGCATACCACAACAAGTCCGGCTACTAATAGATTCTCCATTTCTGGTTGTTGTGAGAATTTGTCAGGAAACACCGCCTACTAATATGCAGGGGTTTATGAATCTGGCCTCAACATGCGACCTTGAAGTTTCATACGCCAACTCAACGCCAGAAATAGACAGCAGCAGCAGCAGCAGCGGCAGCGGCGGGCGCAGCAGCAGCAGCGGGCGCAGCAGCAGCAGCAGCAGCAGCAGCAGCAGCAGCAGCAGCAGCAGCAGCAGCAGCAGCAGCAGCAGCAGCAGCAGCAGCAGCAAAGGCGACTGCAACTTTTCCAACTGCAATGTATATAACTTCAACTGCATCAGCAACGACACCGGCAGTGACTGCAACACCAGCCCAACTGCAACAACAGGGACAATAAGTTGTAAACTTGGTGGCTGCTGCCCCCTGCCCAAACAGTTTGACTTGTCTGCCTATATTGTAAGCAAAAGCAACACTATTGAATCAATCCAAGCAGCCAATCAAACCATACGTCTATACATCTGGCAATGGCTCCTGGACAGGAATGGTGCTGCCGTCCTTCCGCAGCCTGTCAAAGAGTGCCTGGCATATCGAGCTGCGCCCATTCAGGCGTCAACAGGGGTCTCCTCGTGGCTTCCTTTTACAACTACCCCACAAGAAGGAGGGGGGGCACCAACCAAGAATGCGCATGAGTCTGTGTGAAACTGCCCGAACCCCCAAAAATGGGTGATTTGCCTTTGGTTTCTCTACAAACCAACCCCTAACATAGTACCCTCACAAAAACACAACCTGCATGTTCCTTTCGGCTTCCCTTCAAAAACCCACCTCAAACACGTTGGCTTCCCTAAAGCAGACGATCGACGCGCCTGCACGCCAACGCCTTCCTTCAATGCTGCCTTGGGACCGACCAAATCGCGAGCCACGTCACATGGAATCCGAAACGCGTGTCCCTTTACATGGGGGCTGGGGGGAGGGGAGGGGAGGGGGCAGGGAGCCCAAACAAGCCCTAAATAAGCCCTTAAAAAGGCCTTATTTAGGGCTTATTTGGGCTTCCTCCCCCCCCTCCTCCCCCAGCCCCCATGACCTTTACATGTTGTTCCTTTGGTATTGGCCTCATCCATAATGGTTGACCAGCTTGCAAGAGGTCCCTCCTTTAGATGGGACCATTGGTTGGACCACTAAGATGATACTTCCCACATTGGAACAGTTACCTATGGTCGACTGCAGAGGGAAAGGGCAGTGATGCCCGGTGCTTCCACTACAGTAGGTAACCAAGAGAAACCATGATGTAAAACCTCGAGGTAGCCATGCCTGGTTTCCGACAATAGTGGCAACTGGAAGCACTGGGATGGGTTTCTGTTTCACACCCCTCCCTTCAGGGGGTACCCTTAGACACACCCATTGGGTATGAAGTTGGAACCCGAAATGGGATTGACATCAACTTTAGAGGGATTGGCGTCGAAATTCGGAGGGGATGTATGGTTCGATACGGTTTGATGGATCCCTCCTTCAACTCGTAGTGACATGGAACTCAAGTCTGACTGCGGCGATCATTGTGGGTTCCATGTAAAACAGGCAAGAGTATCTACAGCAAGCGCAACGTCAGCGCAAAGTGCAATTGGCAGCACTCTCAACCCCACTTGGGTCTGCAAACTACTTAGTAAGTAGGTTGTAGTCATGGTTGTGAGTGAGGCAACAGGGAATATGTGGGGTAAGGCCTCGTCCTCCAATTGGTCACGACCTTAGTACCCTCTGCAAGCTGACTGGAGGGTTCTTGGGGAAGCCCCCTGTGCACCTCCATGACTGTTGAAAAGAGGGTCACACTCCAAACGACACACGCACACACACACACACACAAATCCACGCCCCTCTTTCCGCCAACCAAGGCTGACAAAAGGGTTCTGGAAGCACCTGTCCTCTTAAGCAGGCCATCGTGGTGGAAAAACGGAACCCATGGGTATGTGTCAAAATAGCGGGACTCCCAGCACGGCTTTGGTGTTCGATTGTTCGTTAGATTTTTTCACGCCAACCCAGTGCTTACAGGCAAGCCACTATAGTAGGTAACCAGGGCAAACCATCACGTAAAACCAACAGGTCCACTGGTCCACTGCCTGCAAAACCTACTCGCGGCTTGCCTGGCAAAGAACTGGGCAAGCGGAAAAACATACGAGTACCCCCCATAGACTTAAACCCAGGGGTTTCCCTTTTCGAAATCAACCACCCCTGGGTTTAAGTCGACTTTGCGAGTACCCACCCGCCGCACGCCTCCCGCAGGGCGGCCGCCACGGCCTTGTGCGCATCTGCGGTCAACCTCCGTCGCTTCTCCTGGAGAGCGGCTGGGGCCAGGGGCAGGATCCACCGGTAAATGGGTGCCTGGAGTCTCCATGACCATTTAAAAATGGGCTAATGACACCATTATTTGGGTAATGACCCCATTTTGAAAGGGTCATGGAGACTCCAGGTGCCTCTTTGTTGGGGGAAACCCCTTTTTGGTGATCTTTAAACAAAAAGAAAAACCACCATTTGGGGGGGAATGCCTTTTTGGTGATCTTGAAGAGAAAACAAAAGGAAAACCACCATTTCGGGGGAACGCCTTCTTGGTGATCTAAACAAAAAGAAAACCACCTTAAACAAAAAGGATAATCACCGTTTGGGGGGGAATGCCTTTTTGGTGATCTTAAACAAAAAGGAAAACCACCATTTGGGGGGGAATGCCTTTTTGGTGATCTTGAAGAGAAAACAAAAGGAAAACCACCATTTAGGGGGGTCCGCCCAAAAAAAGGACAGGCCCAAATAGGTCTCTTGAGTAACCTGGAAGTGCACAAAGCCATCTGTTGGAAGACTAGTAACTTTGCTTTTGGAAATCCTTGTGTACCCAAACTGGTAAAGCTCACGGTCAGACTGGTCTTATCCTCCAATTGCTCAAGTCCCCTAGAAAAAAGAAACATTCCCTTTAAAACCAACAGGGGAAAATATTTGCTCAAGTCCCCTGGGAAAACATATTTTCCGTGGTGATAGATTCCTCAACAGGGCCCAGACAAAATAACACATATTCTTAACCATCTGGAAGTTCTGACGCACTTTTGGAGAATCGAAAGGGCGCCGAAGCCCGCCCAATCATTCCGCCGAATCGGACCGTGCCAGCCCACCCAGGTGTTTGATTGAGGCAACAGGGACCCTTACAGTAAACACCTGAACATTGCCTTGTAATGGTGGGTTCCCGTTATTTTGGTGGAAAAAGCCATGTTTCAAATGGTTGCAAAATGCATCTCTTAATAAGGAGCCCTGATAGAGTCTCAGTGAAACTCCCAAACTCCCTGTACCCAGACGGCCTCAAGTCGTGAAACCTGGTGCCAGTTTCAACATGTCCCTCAAGGTCATCTTGGAGTTGAATCCCATGGAGGTAGGGAACAAGTTGAAGCAGCCAGACAACACAAAGCGGAAGTTGCTGCTACCAAGTTGAAAACCCGGTTGAGAACAAAAAGGTCTGTCGAGCTCAACGTTTTGCGAAATCCAACAGGGGCTGCTCCAAACACCCCGCGGGCTTCGAATTTTGGCTTGGAGGGAAACTAGTGAACCAGCTAGCCAGCCAGCCAGCCAGCCAGCCAACCAACCAGCAGCCAGCCAGGCCAGCAACCAAAAGACGGGCTTCGAAATTTGGCTCATGGAGGTAAACTAGTGAACCAACCAACCAACCAACCAACCAGCCAGCCAACCAACCAGCCAGCCAGCCCGGCCAGCAACCAAAAGACGGGCTTCGAAATTTGGCTCATGGAGGGAAACTAGTGAACCAACCAACCAGCCAGCCAGCCAGCCAGCCAGCCAGCCAGGTCAGCAACCAAAAGACGGGTTTCGAAAAACCAGCCAGCCAGCCAGCAACCAAAAGACGGGCTTCGAGATTTGGCTCATGGAGGGAAACGAGTGAACCAACCAACCAACCAACCAACCAACCAACCAACCAACCAGCCAGCCAGCCAGCCAGGTCAGCAACCAAAAGACGGGTTTTGAAAAACCAGCCAGCCAGCCAGCAACCAAAAGACGGGCTTCGAACTTTGGCTCATGGAGGGAAACTAGTGAACCAACCAACCAGCCTTCCAGCCAGGTCAGCAACCAAAAGACGGGTTTTGAAAAACCAGCCAGCCAGCCAGCAACCAAAAGACGGGCTTCGAAATTTGGCTCATGGAGGGAAACAAGTGAACCAACCAACCAGCCAGCAACCAAAGGGTTTCAAAAAACCAGCCAGCCAGCCAGCCAGCCAGCAACCAAAAGAATAGCCGACACACAGGTCTTCAGATCCAGACCAACGCACCGCGCGTTGGCTTGGAGACTTCAGAGCCAGCCGCCCGGCCTGTAAGGCATGCAGGAGCTGCATGCATCGCTCCTCCTGGCAAAAACACGGTACCACATACGTTCGAATGGGGCGTTGGGAGTGCTTGAAAACCCAATCATAACTGTTACCTGGATTCTTCTTCTGACCCTGAACAAAAATGGTGGGTCATTACCCCAAGTAATGCGGGTCATTGACCCATGTTTATTTCGGGTCATGGAGACTCCAGGTGAAGCTTTACCAATTTGGGTTGATGTCAGAAGGGGAATCACCCGAGCAAGGTGAAAAATGAAAAACAACCCTTACCTTGTTTAGGCGGGTTGATCTCATGAAGGGAACACAATCCAACTAACATGGAACCCACCAAAGGGCCCAATTTAGTCGAAGATGGTCGTCCACCACAACCCAGTCAGGTTGCACGTTGGTGGGATGTCTGTAACCCCCAACGGGGAGTTTACCCAAGTCACAACAGCCGAAATGTTGTGCTTGCTCCTCTCAAAATATTGAAGTTAGAACCCCAGCTGCTTCTAGCTATGCAGGGAGAAAGAAAAACCGGTTTTGCTGGACAATTCGGAGCTTAGCGGCAATCTGTGCAGGGTGTTTGTACCTGGAGTAACCATGACCCTTTAAAAATGGGTCAATGGCCCGCATTATTTTGGGTAATGACCCCATTTTTCAGGGTCATGGAGACTCCAGGTAGAGTTCAAGATTGTCCACTGAAACGGCAACGGTCTCTTTCTCGTGGACCAAAAGAAGGCGTGTTTTCCCGCCATTTTGAGAAAGATTGTGACATGGGAATGTGGCGGGTCGCTCCAAATGGCTGGCAAACTTTCAGCTGCCCATTCGCGACAAACCCGAACACCACTGCGTGGAAATCCCCGTTCGAGGGTCCCATTTGCACCTTTACAAGGAAACCCCAAGAAGAAAACCGAAATCCATTTCTGAGAGTCCAAATCCCGAGTTCGGCACACTCCCAACACCCAACTAGGGCCTTTTTGTATGATTCCCAATCACCACAAAGGCTCTGAGGCCCGATCCGGAGTCCAAATCTCCGCCAGGAAGGTGCTCACCGTGTCCCAGACCTGCCAACTCAATCTGTGTGTCTGTGTGTCTGTGTGTCTGTGTCTGTGTCCCAGTGTCCCCGTGTCTCGGTGTGTGATTTGTTTTTCAGGCTGCGCTTTGTGAGGCTAGCTTGAAGGGAACCACGTCTCTGACTTTGCTTTCCTCCTGCAGAGGCGGGACGTACTGTGGATGGACAAAATATTGGACCACTTTGACACCATGAGAAGCCACTGTCTGTTGTTATTTGCAGGGGAATTGAATCAGAAACCAGGTGTCTTTGGTGGTGCGGTGCAGGATTTCGCAACCATCCACAGTATTACGAGATACCCATCTGGAGTTTTCATGACCCTGAAAAAATGGTTGGTCATTCCCCAAAGAACTGGGCCGGGTCATTGACCCATTTTTATTTAAAGGGTCAGATCCGGAGACTCCAACATACCCATCGCGCGCGCGCGCTGGCCTGGGCTAAGGGCCCAGAGCGGGCATACTTCACAGAGCTCTTGTCCTCCTCCAACTTCCGGCGGAGTTGGATGAGGTCCTGGCGCTCAACCGAAGGAAGGACCCAATCAAAAACCCAAGTAACTCGTGACCCCTCTAAAATCCAAACCTATTCTGGAAACGACCCCTATAAAATGGCTTTCTCTGGAAATGACCCCTACATGGCCCCTATAAAACTGAAATTTTGCAAACCTTATCATATTATTTCATGTTGGCTTCATTTCATTGCCAACCGCTTCATTCCCGAAACTCTAAGGGACGTCTCTGGCTGCCTGGCGGTGGCAAAATTCAGAACCATTTTCTCATTTGCTTGATACGACTCGGGGTGAGATCAGCACCCAACCCTGCTAAAAGTCTAACCTTTAGTGGTCCAAGTTAAAAACTAAAAAAACACCCAACCAAAACCAGCTACAAACCTAAGTTGAACCCGATGGCTGGGCTTGCCACCAAGTGCACAGGATGTGCCCTCAGTGGCTGGTGCTCAGAAGGGAATGAGGGACTGAACTTGGGTACTGACCAACCATGTTTAAAGGGTCAGAAGGAGACTCCAGTCAATTCGATAGTTTTCCTTGGGCTCATGTTCTACTTCTCCCGGCCCCTGCATCTCTCGCACCGATCGCAAGCCAAAAAGCGCGCGAGCGAGAGCCACTTGGCGCCTCATAGAGCTTCTCCAGACCTTGCTCGGAGCTGAGAAGCGCCTGCGGCGCCACTTTGTCGTGCGAGGATTTGCCTAGAGTCTCCTTCTGACCCTTTAAAAATCTTACACTATACACCTGAACATTGCTTTGTAAATGGTTAGTTCCCTTTATTTTGGTGGAAAAAGCCATGTTTCAAATGGGCAACATGTATCTTTTAAGGAGCCCAGCAAAATAATGTGTCATTGACCCATTTTTACTTCGAGTCATGGAGACTCCAGGTGCGCGTTTTACCGGCGGTCCTTGGGGCGCCTCGAGTCTTTTTCCTCTTAAGGAAATGAGTTGGGTGTTTGCGTGTTTCTCCCCACAGCGAATCTTCGACTTGGTCCAAAGTGACCGCCTGAAAATTCCGAGCTCGGTGTTAGAACTCTGGGTTCACACCCCTGCGAAGTGAACATTCTTGCTCCAAGCCCCCGGTTCACAAGGCTCACGATCCGAAGGTTTACTAGGAATGCCTTCTTGTTTCTCTAGGACATAAAATGAGTAAAACAAAAAAAAACTCGACCCGCCGGGTTTTCATTCGTCGCCGGGTGCCAAGAATGCCTGGGCTCTGCCCATCCGCCGGGCCTCGATGTTGTCGATGCTGCTCCCCTTGGCAGTGAGCTCCTCCGCCTTGGGGATGGCCTGCCGATATGGCACAGGTTGGAGGGGTTGGAGGGGTTGGGGGTTGGGTTTTTCAGGGGAAGGGTCTTGTGACCAAAGACCTGAGAGGAACACATCCCAAGCCGGGTGTCTCTTTTTGGGGAGGGGGGGGTGGGGGGTGGGGGGGGGATTTTTTGGGGAACTCTTTGGGGGAATTTGTTGGAATCGGAAGCCAAAGGAAAACCACTTCTGGGTGTCAATCATTTTGTCCAGGGACGCTATCTGTGTCAGCACTGCAGAATGTTCACCCGGAAATTCTAACCCGCTGTAAGGTGCAGTGGCTCCATCATCCTTGCCACCAGCTTGAAATAGGCACCGCACAACGTTCACATAGCCTTGCATTGGCGTAAGGCCTGCGTTGAATAGGTTCGTTATCCTTGTTGCCACCAGGTTCCACCAACAAACGCGCAACTTCCACATGGATATTTTGACAAGCAACATGCGTGGACGTGAAGCCATCATTGGTGTCATTGTCCTCGTCGGCGTCAGCGAGCAACACAACTTCCACATGATTATGTTGACAAGCAAGATACATGGGCGTGAAGCCTGTGTTGTCACACTTGTCCTTGCCGGCACCAGCTTCCAACAAGCAACGCACAACACATGGCCCTTAGGCGTACCGCCAGTGTCGTCGCACTTGTCCTTGTCAGCACCAGCGTGCAACAAGCAACGTACGACATCCACATGATTCTGTTGACCTTCCAGCAAGCAACGCACAACTTCCACATGGCCCTTTTGACAAGCGACATGCATAGGCGTGCCGCCATTGTCGTCGCACTTGTCCTTGTCGGCACCAGCTTCCAACAACAAACGCCCAACGTCCACATGGCCCGTGTGACTAGCAACGTGCACGGGTGTAAAGCCAATATGTGTGTCCATGTTCTTGTCGGCACTAGCTTCCAGCAAGCAACGCACAACTTCCACAGGGCCCTTTTGACAAGCAACATGTATAGGCGTCGTACCGCCATTGTCGTCGCACTTGTCCTCGTCGGCACCAGCTTCCAACAACAAACGCCCAACGTCCACATGGCCCGTGTGACTAGCAACGTGCACGGTAAAGCCAATATTAGTGTCCATGTTCTTGTCAGCACTAGCTTCCAGCAAGCAACCCACAACTTCCACATGACTCTGCTGACAAGCAACATGCATGGGAGTATCGCCATTGTTGTTGTACTTGTCATTGTCGGCACTAGCTTCCAGCGAGCAACGCACACCTTCCACATGGCCGCGGTGACCTGCAACATGCAGAGGCGTACAGCCTCGATTGGTGCACTTGTCCTTGTCAGCAGCAGCTTGCAATAAGCAACGCACGACTTCTACAGGGCCATTTGTGGCAGCAGCATGAAGGGCTGACAGACCATCTTGAGGAAAAGAAGCATTAGGATTGTGAGGCTGCTCCAACATCTGCACAAGGCCTGCCAAGTTTCCGCTTTGAGCTGCCTCAAAGAGGCTGGCCTCTTCTTCTGCGCTTGCATCAACCAATGACCGCACAACGACACATGAGTCACAATCAAAACCTGGTACAAAAATGGTGAACCCAGAACCATGTAAAGAATTAAGAAGGCGGCCGCAGCCATTTATGGTTGGGACTGCCCCTTACTAACCTTCATCTACCCGGGTTTTGATTGTGGCTCACATGGTTCTATCTGCTCCCAAGGGCTGTTCATTGCCACGTGATGTCCACGCACCAAGCTCAATTGACGGAAATTGCTGAGCCTCATGGCTGTGGGTCAAAATCCAAATCGTACCCCCAGTGAACATCCCAATCCCCACTAAAATAGACTAAAATGGGTGGTGCACCCACCCCAAAATGCGATCCCATTGGCTTTGACCCACAGCCTCATCCGCTTTCCTGCCTCGGCCCATCTATACACAGCATCTTCCGCTTTCCCTGACACACTGCTCTGCCTGAGCCAACTCCTCAGCTGTCATTCTCTCCCGGCCATTGAGGACACAATGACGAGAGTCTGTCAAGACTTCAACGGCCGCTTGGGCTTATCCTAACATTCCTGGGGCTTGGTGTGCAAACCCCGGTCGCCGTACCACACCTCAAGTTGCTTTAGGAGTGTGAAAAGGACCTTTTTTGAGGCCCCAAATTGCACCAGGACCCTTACGGTATACAAAAACCCAAAATATTGGTTTGCTTTTGGTTTCCATTCGACGGGGAGGGGAGGGGCCCCTTGAGGCGTCAGTGTGCAGGCCGTCCCCGTGAATGGCAAACGAATCCCAAACGAATCCCCACGATCAAAGTCCGGTAAGGCTCCATACACATTCCGTGCCCTGTTTCGGTGCCGCACGGATACCTCGCGATTCCGGCAATGGCTCGACTTTTTGGCCAGCACTGATACACCATAGGTGGCCTTTGGGACAAAATAGATGGCAAGAGTAAATGGAGTAAAACCCATCTAAATCAGTGCTCTATGTTTCACCAAACTAACCTGAAAAGGCGACCCATGACTGATACTGGTTGATTGATTCCCATCCCACTGGGACTGCAACCAGAAAGGACACCAATGATGAACTACTTGTACCCCTTACCTTCATGGGAGAGTGGGTGGGGTGTCTCCACAGGAAAATGGAACCTCAACCGGACTTCCGACAAACTCCCTGGACGAAAACTATGAAGGGGCAGGTCTACTCCTCATCAAATGATTCAGGATTGTCCGATTCCATGGGACCCAGGATGATTGCCGTCGGGGCAATCGTCTTCAACATCTTCACACAACCATGGTTCCAAATGTTCCAACACCTGGCCACCCAACCTCATGTCGGTTTCCCGATTGCGGCAATAGGTCTGGCCCTGAAACCAATTTTGCCACCGGTGGGGTCGCAGTCCTCCTTGACCCTCCCGTCGCCTCCTTGATCTGAGGCCTCACCAACCCCATGCCCTGCAGCGCCCTCTGCGTGATCTGCTCCGCCTCGTTCCTGTCCAGCGCCTGATCAGAAAAGCTACAAACCCAAGACCCTCCGGCCCAACCCCCCCGCCACCCGCAAAACCCGCACAAAGAACAAAGCCAAAACAGCACCCGCTTAGAATAGAAAGCAACAGCACCCCCCGGAAGAAAAGAAGATGGCGACACAGAAACACGGCTGATGCTTAGAAACCTTCTGTTTGCTTCTCGTTGATTTGTGGTAATGAACTTGCCAAAGTCTTGCTCATTTGCTCGTCACACACACACAGCCGTGTATGCTTACAGAACATCTTGAACCACGTGATCAATGATTGTTTCACTCCAGAAATTATCCAAACACCGTTGGCGCGTTGGCCATTGGGTCCCCTGATGTTCCGAACCAAACCCCGCGGGCGTCGCCCGAAACGTTGCTGCGAATTCGCTGCGCCTCCTGCTTGCGCGTGGACTCGGCGGCTTCCACTGCGGAGATCTTCCTCTTGGAATCGGCCAGCTTCTTCCTGGCACGGGTGCGGAGACAAAAAGATGTCCCTAGAGTCTCCTTCTGACCCTTAGATGGGATCATTACCCAAAACAGATGATGGGTCATTGACCAACTCTTAAAGGGTCATGGAGACTCCAGGTCCGCCTTAAACGAACGGGTTCTCCGGGAGAAGCAACTGGCTTGAAGTCTGCGTTGAGAAAGGGAGCTCTGGGATCAAGAAGCTGAAGATAGTTCAGGAGTTCAAAGGCTCCAGAGGTGCGGTCGCACACTGAAAATTAAAATCTGAACCTGGAGTCTCCATGACTTTTTAAAAATGGGTCAATGACCAACCACTATTTTGGGTAGTGACCCAATTTTTAAAGGGTCATGGAGACTCCAGGAACTTGGCCAGGCCCTGAGACCTGGCGGAATTTTAACGTGAAGCCGGCAGCACTTGAGCGCGTTCAAGGACAGCTGCACCTGTCGCTGCCAACCAACATGTGTGCAAATGATGTGAGACACACCCTACCTGGAGTCTCCTTCTGACCCGAAATAAAAATGGGTCAATGACCAACCATTTTTTTAAGGGTCATGAAGACTCCAGGTAGGTTGATGTGAACGGAAGGCAAAATAAAACACCGAAATCCAGTTTGGGGGTCCTCCGACTTTGGCGCATGCCTGACCGGCCCGTGTTGTCTTGGTTTCCCAAGCACCTCAGAAAGAGCCGAGGCCCCGGCTGCGGCAATGCGCGGCCGGAGCTTGCTGACCTCCGCCTGAGTGAGTTCGTCGCGCGTGGTGAGCCAACGTCGCTTGGGCGTGGCTCAAAAATATTGCCAATTTGCCTTTTGGGCTCAAAAATATTGCCAATATTGCCAAAAATATTGCTCAAATATATTGCCTTTTGGGCCCCAAGGTAGACTGATACATGGAGTAAAGCCTGATGGATCGGGAAACATGAGACCTTGCTGAAACGTCTCTCTGACATCACAGCAGCGGGCCGGAACATGATTTCTCCTCTTCAAGGGAGTCAAGTGCCGATATTAGTGGGAGGGTAGTGCTCGAACAATCCCCGTTTGGTTGCATTCTAAATTGGGCAAATCTAGTTGTTTAAACTTAAACAAATATTGCCGTTCCCCCGAGTCGCGTTGGCACTAGTTGCGTGCTTCAAGCCTGCTTCATAATGAGTTAAGCTGATTCATAGGCCCGTAGATCAACCGTCAATGAGTATTCCCTGTGTTCAATGTGATGTAGTCGCGTTTGCCCTTTTTCAACAACAGGGCATGTCTTGATAATTAGTTCTAATGCTAGGCAAGAGAACCCACCAACATGATAATTCCCAAGTTCAAAGGAAAACATCCGCTTGTGGGTCCAAATCCCTACTTTGAGACACCCAGGTGTTTAAGCATGTGGGCTTGGATTTTTTTATCCGGGACCCTCTGGCTTCCCTTCTGAGGCGTCCTCAAAGAGAATTGGGCCACCTGGGGTGTTGGCTTTGTATCAAAACACGACAAACACGAACAAGAACATCTGGTTTGCCACCCAAACAATGTATTCCGACGAACACGTAATAAAAATGGCGGGTGTCCGTTTGGTTTGCCTGAAGCCCAAAGAATGTCTACCCCAAACCATGCGACGCCTAAGCTTTGCTCCAAAAGCCACGCGGAGATTTCTCGCCTTGAGCTCGGCCAAGTGCCCGCTCGCCAGCTTGGTGTCCAAGAGCTTGGCAGTGGAGCCCAAGGCCTACGACGATAAACCCGGCTGAAAGCATCCACGGAAACAAGGAGCGAATCTGTACAAAATTGGGCGGGTAGGGCGGGTAGGAAAAGGGGGGGGGGAGATTGAAAACGAATCCACACCTGGAACGAATATGAACGGGGAAAAAACAGATGGCAGTCGTGTGTCATTTGGGGTGTGTTCAAAAAAAGCACCCCGAAAAGGAAAAATCAGCTCAGGAAGATTTTGTTTGTGTGTCGATTCATTGGCAATCCAAGGGGGACTGTTGAAACATCCAGAAAAGAAAACATCCCCCCAATGGTCCGTCTCGATTCAAGTTCAAGATAGCGCAACTTCCAAAGCTTACCTCATGCAATTGTCACAAGAGATGGGCACGAATCTTTGTCTTGTCTCCCCGAAGCAAAGCGCAAGGGTTGGGCCATCCCCTTGTGAAACATGCTTAACCCGCTTGTGTTTCAACTTACTGGTCCCAAGGGCAACCAGGGCCGGGTTGAAGAAACCCGAGTTACGGACCCGCATGAAACCTTTTCCATTGGTAGCTTTGACATGGTCAGGTCAGCGGAGTGGTTGCCCAGATTCAGCAACTGCAAAGAGGCGTGTTCTGCTTTCAGGATGCCAATCGTGCAAGTCCGAAACCTAAGTGGTTTACAACCAGGGTGTGCACGCTTGTCAGCACACCGCCTAGGGTGTACATATCATGCTTATGTATGTGTGCGTGTACGCATGCAACGCGCAAACCAATAGGCTTGCCTCACTCATCTCATCGACCGCCAGCTCAATGCGCGTCGTCATGACCTGTGCTCAGCACCCTTTCGTTGTTGTCGCACAAGCTGTGCCCTGTATGAGTATAACTTCTCTACCAAGATGGAAGTGGGCAAGGGGATGGTAGTCTTGCAACAGCCTCCTGTCTGCTTCCGTGATTGTTGGACGAGTAGTCCGGCGTGCCAAGTGATTCACGTCTGCAAGCTGGCACATGCGAAGTGAGTCCACTGCCTGGTGAGGCGAGAAGGTCTGCAGGAAGGTGGTACCTTCAAGATCGGGATCGGATGCATCGCCCATGTAAAACGAGAGGGTCCTCTTAACCAAAAGAGAAGGCACAAAAGAGAAGGCATTTTGGCACCCTAAGGCCCTAAGACAAGGTGTCTCCATGGCAATTTTGATTGCGGCTCATGTTTTTCAACCAAGCTGACCTGAAAAGGACACGCTCGCCCAAACCGGGGGAGGCCTCTTTTTGGAACCCTTGCCGTGCCCCCTTTTTTGCGACAAATGATGCGCCATTGTGTCAACCCGCCAATATGAAATGATGAGAAACTTCGCGGGCACCTATTATTGGCTCCGAGTATGCATTGGGTTCTATATAAGGCGTCGGTCAAAAAAAACAACTTGTGGTTTGCTTTCGGGTACATCGAAAATTATGGGCTATTTAGCTCCCAGAGCAAGGCAAAGTTGAGGTTCGAGCGCCAGATCTCTGAGGGGCTCACCGTTGATGGCCCGCAGAGTGACAAAGCCTTCCCTGCCGTCCTTGTCCGACTTCACCTTCACCCGCATGACCCCGGATGCTGCGTCCTGCGTGAATGAAAGTGGCATGGAAGTTCTGGAGCTGGGCCAGGGAATGTTCAACCGTCCCGTGATAGAGCTACTTGCGCCACCTGATTAGCCGTGGCCATATCCAAAGACCTCGCTATACCGAAAGAAAATGTTTGAGAGATCCCAAAAAAAATGGAGCCGGGATTCATGGCGCATAGACAATTGCTTGCCTCGCTCGGCACATCGCGCCAGGGATTTGTGTGTGTTATTCACCTGAACATTACTCCTCCCTCCATCCCCCAACAAAAAGATAAAGGAAGAAGACAAAAAACACAGAAGTTGCGGTTTGATTGTGATCTGGCACAAAAGGCTTGTTGTTTTCTACTGGCCGAATTGCATCCGAGAAGGCAATTCGAAGGCACCGCCCGGAAATCCGCCCCCGGGCCGCTCGTCCTTCTCGGGCTCGCCGACGGCCTGCAGCACCTCTGCTGGCGCCAGCTTGCGCAAGGTCTTGCTGCCCTTGATGGCCTCGTTTTGGCCAGCGAACCCGGCAAAGTGATCGCCGGGTTTGGTTAGTTCTGGGGTAAACCTGGTACCTGGAGTCTCCATCTGATCCTTAAAAAGGGTTGGTCATTTGCAAAATAATGGGGTCATTGTGCTACCTGGAGTCTCCTTCTGACCCTCAAAAAGGGCTGGTGGTTGGTCATTACCCAAAATAGTTGGGTCATTGTGCTACCTGGAGTCTCCTTCTGACCCTCAAAAAGGGCTGGTGGTTGGTCATTACCCAAAATAATTGGGTCATTGTGCTACCTGGAGTCTCCTTCTGACCCTCAAAAAAGGGTTGGTCATTACCCAAAAGAATGGTTGGACATTGACCCATGATTATTTCGGGTCATGGAGACTCCAGGTAGTTTTGTGGGTAAACCTGGTAAACCTAGGGGCAGGCGCCCCTTCTTTTTTGGTTGAGGTCAAAACCACCTGCAGCAAAAGGAAGGAGGGCACCATTGGAGGTCTGGGAATGGAAACCACGGAAAGCGGTTCGCAAGCTTGAAGATGTTTTTGCAGGGTTCTTGGCTGACCAGTTTTCCTTTCCCTGGTGGATTCCGCGGACCCGTCAGGGTCTACACAAGCCATGGGATGTGGTGCATTTGTTGGGAAAACTGGGTCCCGCAGAGTTCATCTCGAAATTACTGTTGGGGGTGGTTTCCCCGCAAAGCAACATATATGGAGGATCGTTTTAAGGATGTGTCCTTGATGGACCCAGGACAATAAACACGCCGGGATGCTTGTGCAATCAAGCAGGTTAATAGGTGGTACCCTGTTTGGGGTGAACTTCAGGGGACCCCGAAAATGGTGACAGTGAGACAAACCGTTTTGGGGTTGCCATGCGAGTGGTAGAATGACTTCTCCAGTTCGGACTTTCCGTACTTTGATATATATTTGTTGTGTGTGTGGGGAAGTTTTCTGTGACCCCGAAACCATGATGTAAAACCTAGAGGTCGCCATATCTGCCTACCTGTAGTGGCTTGCCTGGAAGCACTGAGAACTCTTGACAGAACATGGGAACCAAAGTAGCTGCAGTTGGTCCGCCGAAAAAAAGAAAAAACAGAAAACAAACTGCGGGGTCTAGGGCGCTGGCCAGGCTGTCCGTCATGCTCACCGCGCTCACGCAGGCGTACCTAGGGAAGTGAGGCTTTGCTTTTCTGGCGGAACCCTGGAGCTTGGGATTCTTATTCCAAAAGAATCAAACATGCGCAAGGCTCCCAAGCGTGAGTACCTGGAGTCTCCTTCTGACCCATAAAAAATGGTTGGTCATTGCCCAAAACTATGCGGTCATTGACCCATTTTTCTTTTGGGTCATGGAGACTCCAGGTAGATCACAACATGCTTGCAGAGGCTGCCCGGCAAGAAATGAACCAAGAGTCTTTGTAGAGACCGGACCATGCCGTTCGAAGCCTCTCAACCAGCCAGCGCCGGTTTTTGGACTCCGAGTCCCCCGGCCGGGTCTTGAAGACATCCAGAAACTGGGACTTGGACACCTCGCAACTCGCAACCGCTCGCTTTATATCTGGGTTGTGAGAGAACTCAAGATTCTAGGTCATGATCATGGGAGCCAACATGTTAGTCATGTTTTAGTGCAGTAGCTGGTACATCCCCCCAAAAAGCAGGAACATATGTGTGTGTCTGTTTTTGGAGGCTACCCCTTTTGTTGGGTTGGTTTTAAAGGGAAGCCACCAGGAAAAGCACCATTTTGGGAGAAGGGTCCTCCTGAAAAAAGACACTCCTATATCTTAGCTTCGGCCCGATGGAACTCAGATCTCAATGCCTGGTCCTGATCGCCTGAAGGCTGCCAGTCGGCATGCCAAGAAAAGGCGAAAGGACCAACCAAAAGCAACCATACTGTGGATGGACAAAATCCTGCACCGCTTTAAAACCATGGGAAACCATTGTTTGTTTGTATTTTCAGGGGAATCATCATCCCAGGGCTTCTTTGGTGGTGCAGGATTTCGTCCATACACAGTATCATGAACCTAGGTGTTCAGCTGGAAAAAACAGATGGGCGAATAGTGACACTGGTTAATGATTGAGAACCAAACTGAAACTGACCAAAACGGACACCTATGATCAACAAGTTCACAGCATGTGTGTGTGTGTTTTCTTCTGGGTTCTGTGTGTGTTCTTCTTTTTTCAGTACCCGTTTGGGGACTTAAATGGACACCAATTGACATCGCCCATTTGGGAAGTTCCGAATTCAATTCTAGGGGTAGCTTCCCCATTCTTTCCAGGGAAATGGCTGGTTTTTGAAACGATGGCTGAAAAGAATGGTTGGAATCAACCCCTAGATCAATTGGTGACACAAACCACACACGCCGGGGGCAGGCCTCTTGCCGCGCCTCTTGCTGGCCCTTGGGCAGCATGGTGCGAAAGGCAGCTCCCAGCTCCTGCGTTTGTGATGTGAGCAAACAACCGGGACCCAGTACTCCCTTTCTGCAGTGGCTATGTGCAGAAATATATATATATATATATGTGGTCACCCCCCATGATCCACACCCAGACGTGTGTGTATATATATATATACATGGGTGGGGTTGTGTGTGTTGGTTCCTTTTTTTGAGGTGGTTTCAAGGAAACCAAAGTCCAAGATTCAACCAACATATATGACCATAAAGAAGAAGAGCTTGAGTTGATGGGGCATTCGGTGAGTCCACCAATGTCCCACCGACCATAGACTACCAAATACTTTGATCGAACCTCCAAAACTGCATGAAAGGACATAACCAGCTTCATCCAAAAGGGTGTGTGCGTGTGTGTGTGTGTGTGTGTGTGTTGCGGATGGACAAAAAGTCAAAAAAAGGTTGGTAGCTGGTTCGCAGCACATTCAGCGGGACTCATCCATCCCAACTCACGAATTAACATGGAATCCAGTCATGTCTATGAACAATTAATGTTAGTAATCTTACTCCTTAAAACTCCAAGCCCTAAGTTAACCTTTTACAGACATATAGCCCATGGTTGCCCCCAAAAAGTTGGAAACGTTGTGTTTTTAAGAGGTAAGTTTAATTCTTCCGCCCCTGTTCAGCCCCTTCCCAATGCCGGTGGCTGATGCAACCTGATGCATCCCAGCCAAAGTCTCGAGGTAAAACCCCGAGAGAGGGATGCGACTTTCCGCGAGGCGATGTGAAACGCCACAGGGATCCAGGGGTTTCCGAGCATGATGTACCCTAAGCCTGCCTGGAGTCTCCATGACCCTTTAACACAAATCTGGTCATTACCCGAAATAAAGGGGTCATGGACCCATTTTTAAAGGGTCATGAGGACTCCAGGAACCCTCAACCACCCAACTAGCCACCCCCAACCACTCCAAACCATGCCTAGCCAGTTGCGGCTGGTAAGTGTGTGGCACGCTTCATACCGAGGGGTTACCTTTCTTTCGTGGCCTCTCTCGCCTGGAAGCACTGGGGGCCCCATAACGCGTAAAGATCTCTCAGGGCTCGCTTCCTGCCGTCTCCAGTCAGCAATTGGAAAGCCTCGAATGGGGGCCGCTGGGCTTTGAAATATACCATTCCCAGTGCTTCCAGTTACAAGTACCACCATAGTAGGGGGGACACATCGAACGGGCGGCGAAAACCGCGCAGCTAGCTCCTCCGCTGTGAACAGAGGCACTTTGTCCCCCACCTGCAACTCAGGCCTGTGCGCGGTCACTTGTGGCGCGCCCAGTGCACTCAGAGTTGGAGTGTCAAAACCTCCATTTCTTAGATCCCCTAGATAAAATAACCCAGTGGCAAAAAGATCCCATTTAAGACCAACAGGAGAAATGAAATGGAAGAAACCTGGGAACTCCGATTGGTTGGCCTTGAACAGCAACATAAAACCAACGGGGGCTGTGAACAATATGGCTCCGCTTTGTACCCTAATGCCGCCCAAGGTGTCGCCTTTTGCAGGGGACACCAAAACAGGCCCATAATTTTGACAAACCTCCAATGGCAAAGCAGGGTGTTAGATTTAACACTGTTTGTGGCAATGGGCCGCGAACAACAACGAGACAACACTCTTGCTCTGCGAACCGAAATCCCGATGGTAGCCGCTACCGCCCCCCACTTACGGCATCTAACATGTGGTGGGGGTCCTGGAAGACCATTGCCCTCGGAAAGTGACCCTCTGGTGGGCTCCATGGAAAACATTGGGAGGAGGATACCTGTGCCATTGGAAGCGACATGGCTGCTGGTTGTAGCACCCTCAGCCCTGATCTCTTGGAATCTCTTGGACATAGATCAAAGCTAATCAAACATGTTCAACACAGAGTTGGAGACATGGTGGTCTTTTTCATGGACCGCTTTGTGATTTGTGGCGTTGTTTCACAGGGAAAGCAATGGGAAACCGAAGCAAGCCCAGTTTGGGGAAGGGTTCCCCTTCAATTCCTGACTCCTGACATGCTGAGGTGCACACAACTCTTGCAAAGTCGAGATGAACTTGTCCTCCAAGACCTCTGGCAGAGCTAACTGGCTCTCGGTTGACTCGCCTGTATCATCGTTTGCATGGGGTCTAAAAATTGACTGCCTGTCCAGAATGGATGAAGGCTAAACGAGAACAAAAAGCGCCACTTTTTTTTTCGCCAACTCCCTGCATGGCACAATAGTACAGTTGCCGTGCCTGAAACCTCGGAAAAGCGAAACGGAAGCCTCGACACTGAATTAGCCAAAAGCAACAACAATTCACCATCTGGAGAAACCCCACCCGAGCAGCGCCCAAACCCATTGACTGTCGGTTCTAGGTGCGGTGGTTATAAGCAGGTTCATCTAGGTGTTTCTTGTATTTTCTGGAACCCCCACGAAACCAACTAAAAAGCGAAAAACAAATCGAAGGAACCGGATGGCTGGGAACAGCCTGATAGCAGACCCGTTATGGCGGGCATGAGCCAAAGTGGCCAAAGGCGCCTTGTCTTCCGCAACCATTTTGCCGATCACCGCCTCTGCGCTCTCCCCCGTTCTTACAAAGCTCTCCTGAAGTGCCTGCGCAGAACGGCGTCAGTTGAGGATTTGTTTGTTTGTTCGCTTGATTGTTCGTTCGTTCGTCTGTTTGTTTGTTTGATTGTTTGGTTGCTCGATCGCTGTGTTTGTTTGTTTGTTTGTTTGCTTGTTTGGTTGTTTGTTTGGTTGTTTGGTTGTTTGTTGGTTTGTTTGATCGCTTGTGTTTGTTTGTTGGTTTGTTTGTTCGTTTGTTGGTTTGTTCCATCGCTTGGTTGCTCGTTTGTTTGTGTGTTTGCTTGTTCGTTTGTTTGTTTGTTGGTTTGTTCGATCGCTTGTTTGTTTGTTTGTTTGTTTGTTTGTTTGTTCGTTTGTTTGTTCGATTGGTTTTGTTTGTTTGTTCGCTTGTTTTTTTGTTTTTGCTTGCTTCTTTGTTTCTTTGTTTGTTTGTTGGTTTGCTTGCATGTTCGTTTGTTTGTTTGTTTGCTCTTTCATTCGTTTGTTTGTTATTTCGCTCGTTCTTTCGCTTGTTGTTGTGAGGGTACTCTTTTCTGGCCCTTTGGTGGACATCACTTGGGTGGGGATTTGTGTCCACCAACCATATTTCCTCACTTCCTGAGTTGAATGGCGGAAAGAGTCCAACTTCTTTGTCTATAAACAGTATCTAAAGTTTGGGTTGACCCCTTTTTGTGGACACTGGACACGGCCAAATGTGTGATACATTGATTCGTCCAAGGGAAGCCAACGAGCAGCAAAACTTTTGACACCCGGCCGTGTATGGTGCAAGCAAAACCTTGCCCACTCTCGAAAGGTGATCACTGAACTGATATGTGTGCGTCCCTTTTTTGGGGGGGACCCCCCAAATGGTGGTTGTCCTTTCGGATTGAATTGAAAAGCCATAAAAAAAGGGGGTACCCTCAGAAAGGACATACCCATGCATGAGCCAAGGTCATTGGTTCTTGTGTGCCTCTGATCAACTTTGGTGATGTGGTGTATGCCTTGCCTTGACCAAAGTCGGTGATACTGTGGACAAAATCCATTTCGCACCGCTTTGAAACCATGGGAAACCATTGTTTCTTGGTATTTACAGGGGAATCATCATTCCAGGCTTTCTTTGGTGGTGCACAACTTCGTCCATCCACAGTACCCATTCAAATCCTCCCAAGTGATCGACCCAAAAGCAGACAGGTGGAACAAGACGGCCAGGAGCGTTGGCCTGTTGGCACAAAGGCCCGGAACTTTGGCCAGCCTAGGAACTGCCTCGACCCATCTCTGTAGCCCGGCCTTTATGATGTGCTTCATGAAGACGGTGGCAGAAAGATCTGCATCATCCTCAAGGCTGATTCCATCTGCAGATAGCTGATGCTGACAAACAGAGATCCGCCTTTTTTTTGGCGAGCGTGCGGGGAGTAAAACAAGCTCACCAATTCGGCGTAGGTCCTTTAGCTGGGGATCCCTTTTTGCAGGTGTACGCATGTACCAGCTGCTGACAGATCTCCAACTCTTGCAGAACTGCCACTGGAATTCGCCCCTGGGATACATCCTACAATCACCTGTTTCCGAATTCCATGGGGACAAGCGTGTGAGAAAAAAATGGCCATATGGGAACTCTCACTTCAACCCCAAATGGTGCCTTAGTGCCCTTAAAGCTTGTTGACTTGGGGGAATACCCCAAGTCCACAATGGGGCACCTGGCAGAAGCATTCAGGTTTGATTTTGAACATTTGGGATGGTGGTTCCTTTTTTTTACCATTTTAACCCTAGCCGTACCAACTCAAAAGAAAGTTTTGACCCGGGTCCCAGCACCTCATATTTGCGGAGGTTCCTCCAATTTTCGTAAAACAAAATATGGGTTAGGACCCTCTAGGCCATAGGAATCCTCTAAGGACCTCTGCAAACCCCTCCCTCCCCCCGGAATCCGCAAGGCTTCGCCCAGCCACGAGAGGCGCAGCCACCTCTTCCGTGCCTTGGACCAAAACACTCCGACCGAAGCCTCGGACCTGGGTGGTGCAGTGTCCAAGTGCCTCACCCAGTGCTTGGCGCGGCAAGCCAAGCTGCTCTAGTAGCTATCCGAGCAGTATGGCTAGAGGGGTTTCAGGGAAGCTGATCCAAAGATTTAAACGTTCCTCATATGGTTGTGGCTGTCAAGAACAGGGTACCCCAAAATAGGTTGCCCTGGGAACTGGAACCAAGGACTAAAACCTGCGGTTCCCAGGTGGTTTGATTTTGACCCATGCCCGTAATAGTTGCGGATTTGAGGAATCTGTAATTGAACAATCCTCTTTAACTAAACCCAATACCGGAAAAAAACATGTGGGGTGCTTGACCCTCTGGGATATTCCGCTCTGCCCTTCAAACCATAGTTCCGAAGAGACCCAAGAAAAAATATTTGAAGGCCCAAAAGGTTTGCGGGGGAAGTCAGCAGCAAAGCGTTGTCCCGTATGAAGCCAAAACAGCTATGATATCCTCACATGGAAGCTGACCAGAGGTCCGTCAGGAAAATTGGTCGTGTTGCGTGAGAAGAAGCTTGCTGCTACGCAGCCGCTTCTGGCCGCTTTGGGAAATTCGCGGTTGTGTCCCGGGATTTGCGGAAGACTGCCAAATTCGCCTGCCAAGATTCACCAAGCCTCCTTTGGACTTGTGCGTTCCAAAGACGTAGCTCTTCCCGGTTCAAGGCTTTGCTGATCCCGACGAGTTAACTCACTTATGGCTTTGTCAGCTCCTCTATGTAAGCCACGGTCAACATCACAAACGTTCCTCCAATCGGACATGGGACATTTAGTGAGTCGCCTGGGTTTTGTGAGACAATTATGTGAGTCCCCATGTCCCATGTCCCGTCCCTCCTAAAGGACCATAGACTACTGGGAAGTTTGACCGAACCTCACATGTCTTATCAACAGGATGGTGCTTGATCAATTTAATGGCAGCCATGGCAACACCTCACAATATGCGACATGGCAAACAGTCTCTTAATCTGTGAAAATGCTATGTGCTGCCTTGTCTGTAGGCGTAATGTTGTCATCAATCAAGCAATCCACAACTCACATCAGGTTGACAGGACTCAGTTGAGCGGCGTTTCAACCAACAAACCTGGGAAACGGGTTCACTTAAAAAGAGGCAGCGAAGAAAACCCGAGAGATAAAGATTCCTGCCTAGTTAAGCAATCAAAATCTCATGCAAGTAAGCCCCCTGCTCACTGCTTTGACTCGTATGCTTTGTCAGCCCTGCTGTCGACAGAGCTGCCAGGTGGTGCCAGTTCACTCTGTTCACTCGGACCCGGACTGGCCATCTTCTTCTCAAGCACATCGACAATCTCAAAGGACTCCTGATGGAGTCAACGCCCTGTTCAAGTGATTTTAAACACCACACCCTTTGATGCCTTCTGGTCTTCGTTTTTCAGGAGGCCGTTGTTTACACAACCTCCTTTTGGACGTTTAAATGGGCTAACCGCCACACCCTTTGATGCCCATTCCAAAAAAGCCACCGCCTTTTGGTCGTCGCTTTTCCAGGGCGCTAATTAAACACAACCTCCTTTCGGTCCACGGGGCCCGGGGTCCTCCGTCCAATTGAAATGACACCCAGGCGTCAAAGGCATCCGGTTCCCCACCCATGGTTTCCTTCAAGCATCCAGGTTTTTCAGGGGCGTTGGCCCAACTTCGAGAAAGGATCCGTGGATGCCTTTGACACATCCGTGATACCTTGGGGGCGGTGTTTTTTTTCCAAAGATGTGGAAACCACAAAGCTGGCCATGGTCTCAAACTCGGCAGGCACCTTGGAGTGGTGATATAGGTGTGGTTTGGGGTGGTTTGCGAATCTAGCCTCGGGTGATTTATTTTTTTCGAAACCAATCCAACCCAAGGGTTGCCTGATTGAAGCAATCTGACAGGGGGCACCCAGCGCCCTTTGAAAAGGGGCACGTTTCCGAAGAATGGCAGCCTCCGAATTGCATGGGCTTTGGCTTCCCATTCTTGGTCCTTTCCCTCAAAATGCAACCTCCTCAGGAGGTCCAAGGAAACAGACAAATGCATTGCCCCTACCGCAGGAAACTCAGCTTCCGGGATCCCAAAAAGCGATCTTTAAAGCCACCTGTTCAAAAAACCCAGGGAGCTGTGTGCCTCTTCCATTTGAATTCAACTCCACTTGTCTCATGGGAATCTCTTGTTTCGAGGGTACTCCTTTTTGGGAGTGTTTTAACGTGAAACCAGCGAATCAAGTTAAGCCACCTCTCACCTGGCGATGGGACGGGGCAAGTTCTAAAGTGAAACCAATAGGAAAGCCGAGGCCATTCTGGAGGGGTCCCCTAAAAAACCGCAGCCAAAAGCATCCACCAAGAGGAAACCCACCATCTTGCGGGTCGCCCCCCCCCCAAAAAAAAGAAAAAGAAAAGACGACGAGCCACCAGGAGCCATCCATTCCATTCATCGCACGGAAACCGAGCCGCGCGGACACCGAGCTGCGCAGCGCGCGCCTTGATAAGGCGCTGGGTGGCCAGGCGGGTCTCGTTCTCCCGGATCTGATTCTGCCAGGTCTCGAGCTCCGCCTGAGCCGCGGCGGCGTTTGGCAAATTTTGGCAACGTCTGACCCAAAACCCCCCCCCCAGGGCGCACCCAGGGCCCCCGCCCAGGGCCCCCCCCCCAGGGGCCCCGAAAAGTGCGATTGGTGGAATACCCGGGGGGGGAACGTAAAGTGGTTGAAGCAAACAAGACAAAAAAAGCAAACGCAAACATAAAGAAAACAGACGGTTGGGATGTGATTGGTTGAAATCTCGCAGGCGTTGGAGAACAAGAATCTGGGCAGGCTACACAATCATTCAAAGGAGGCTTCCTCATGGGTGAGCTTGTTTACCCCAATTGGGAAACATAAATCCAAGCAAAAAGGGATCCCAAAACACCCAAACTCCCCTACAAGCATCTATAAACCCTGAAAGGGTGTTGAATGTCGGACGCCCCGACCCCCCCATCTGGTTGGAGTCAAAAAGCTGACCACTCGATCCCCACCTTCATGCCCTCGACCTGCTTCACCGCGTTGGCATCCGAGGGATTGGACTCCGAACTGGGCACCGCGAGCGCGACGCTTGGCGCAACGCGACGAACGGAACGATTGATGTGAACTGGCCAGCTATAAGCCTGACAAGTGCACTTTGCGAGTGACGGATAAGCATGATTAACAAGTGTGCAACCATGATTGACAAGTGGGTAACCACGCTCATGGCTGGGATGACTGAGTCTGAGTCACATGCATGCATGGTTGTAATTCACTTGCCAAGTAGGCCCAAACTCGCTTTGTTGCCGAAAATGGACAAGCCCCGCAGACTGTGCCAAGTAGTTGATTCCATCCCTACCGCTTTGTCTACTTCAAAGGTGTGTGGGTCAATTCACTTGTTCCTCCAAGGGAACATGGGAAGATTAGTGAGTGCCCTAGCCTTTGTGGACTGGAACATTTAGCAAGTTCCCCAGGTCCCTCCCGAATGGACCATAGACTTACAATTTGACCGAACCTCATGTTGCACCCCTCATGGTTGTCTAAAAACCATATTAAGGTGACTAGAGCTTTGGGCATTTGGAGGGCATCCCTTCTCTTCAGGCGTCTTTTTGTGCCTCAGGTTCGTTGGCCTCTTCCATGCATTCCTTATCGAACAGATTTCCGTCAGGGTTGGGCAAGTTTCTTAACAGGCCTTTGGTCCCCTTCCTTCGCTTCCTTTAAAGGGCAACCAACAGGAGGTCGTTTAAGCAAAATAGTCGTCCTTCTTTGATGGTTCCCTTTGTGAGGCTGTTTGAAAGCGAAACTGAAGGGAAGCCACCTGTTGTCAGGATTTCCCTTACTTTGAGACGGGTGTTTCTCAAATTATGGGGCCGCTAAGGATTGCTGGCTTCCTTTTGGTTTCTCTATAAACACGTGAAAAGCGGGGTCAAGTAATCATATTGGATAACACCGTGGTCAGCAGGCCAGCCCCGGCCGCGCTTTTTTCTCCCCCGTTCCCCTTGCAGTCACTCGTCGAGAGTGCACTACCCGGACCCCATCAGCTCACGCTGAACCTGGCCGGCGGCAAACCAAAACGCTAAAGCCATACTAGGGAATGTTAAAAATAGGGGCCAAATTTTGGTGCTGTTCCTTCTGGTTTCACTGTAAACCAAGATGAAAAGCTGACTTCCAGTCTGAGTTTTCTGGGCCCTCCACCCGCCTCACCATGCAGAGAGCACGGACTTCACGAATTTGCCTTGGTCAGGACGCCCTCCAAAAAGCCCATTGCTTCCAGTCATTATGGTATCCAGGGAGTCTTACCAGGCTTTACATGATAAATTTCCTACTGCAAGGACAACTGGACGCACACGGCCGCATGTCGCGTCCTGTGTGCGGCTTGTTGGTACCAAAGTCCAGTGCTTTCAGCTTCCGTGGAGGTAAACCTACCTGCCTAGATAGCCACGTTGCTGCTGTTTTCAGACACTGTTGCTGGTTTTTGGGGCAAAGTGCATGGGACAAAAAACAACAGCAACTGGCTATCCAGGTGGTCCTTTGGCGGTAAAACTGGAACTGGGCAAAGCGCAACCAAGTTGCGGTCGGCCTCAAGCGTCGAGGTGAACCTCAACTGCCTTGAGGCGTTCCAGGCCACGGGAAAGAGGGCGTTCAAGTGGTCGCACATGATCGCCTGAGCCCACAGTCACACACCCTTTGCCCCAAACACACCCCTTTAAGCAAAATGGTCAGGTGCATCTGGGGCAGTGGTGTTTTGGGCTGGTTTTGGAGCCATAGACAAGATATTTTGACTGAACCTCACATGGGGCCACTGGCGACAGCAAACGCTGATTGCAAGTCCACGGTGACTGTTCTACATGTGCCATGCTCAAAACTTGACTGCGGGCAATGGCCATACTGGCCCTATGTGTCTCTTTGGAAAATACATTGGTAACATAAGCGGAACCAAAGTGAACCAGTCGAATCATTCGATTTCAAACAAACTGACACCAAGGCTTACGATCAGGGTTGGGCTAAGCTCTTTAATACTGTTTAGCCGTTGCTTAACCAATCAATCTCCTTTGGGATTCCTTTAACTTAAAACGCGGACCAAAGGCCGGATGATTGAAAACACTCGCCAACCCCCTATCGCCCCGATTTCTGACCCCTCCCCACTTTTCCAAAAGAGAGGGGTCATCACCCCATGCTTGAAGGGCCATGGAGACTCCAGGTATTGGGGGGTGTTGTCAAACATGTGGACCCTTTTTGCGACCTAGTGCCGCCTTGAGCCGCCTTTTACTGAAGGCGATACCAAAAAGGGCCCCTACTTTTGAACAAACCTTCATTGAGAACATAGATTATATATTCACTTATAAACCTCAGGTGGGGATAACCCAGTCAGTAGCGGTAAACCAGGTGGCTAACCACTTACCAACCCGCCCGCAAATAGTTCCGCCACGACGCGTAGCTGCGATCCTCCATTGGCGGCCTCTCTCGCAGACGGCCTTCCTTCGGAGCCGAATTCGATCGTCCCCTCACCCCCCTTTTCTGGAGGCCCCAGCAAACGCAACACAACCGATGCCCTGCTTTAGGGATGCACCAGGAAGGCGGCCGAAGGCGGCCGCCTTTGCAGCCCTCGTTTTCTCCGGTCCTTCATTCCAACGATGAACTGCAGCTGCGCACTGCGGCCGGTCAACAGCAGGTCTCGTATGGAGACCTGCTGGCGCCGCGCCTGGCATGGAGAGAGGGGGGGGTGTCCCGAAAGAGGGGCTAATGGAAACTACCACTAGACACTAAAAGGCTAAAAAGCTAAGGGGATGGCTGGGAGCCACCAAGTTTCAGTTCCAGCCGCAACTAAACGGCAACAAATCAAAGGTTCAAAGATTGAACGTTTGGTTTTGGATACGCCAGTAACTGTTCCTCAAACGGGCCCCTCCAGAACGTCAGGTGCGTGGTGTTCCTGTTGGTGCCCCTGAAAATCATCTGAGGGGACCCCCCCCTAGTTTGAGAACCACCAATTTGTTGCCACCCCCCTTTCAACAAATAATTATGGCCCAGGGAAACCAGAACCAGGGACAGTACAGCCAAAGTTTGTCTCGCTTCAATTTCGTTGTGGCTAGCTGGACACCCGCGACATTGAAGAGGCCCAAAGGAAGGGCTTGAACCCAAGGGCCTGCGACTCGTCCTCCTCGTGCCAGAGATATTCTGCTAGAAGACCAGCAAAATCGGGCACCTCCTGAAAGTTGCGAGCGCGTTTTGCGGGATCTGCCATCAACACCTTGGGCCTAAACAAACCTCTTCAAACCCCAGTGATTCCATTCCCCTGTAGGTAACCAAGGGAACCACGGCTTTAAAAACCAAATGGAGCATGGCTGGGTACCTACCATTAGGGGTAATTCGGATCCACCGGGCACCATATAGAGAGTCAGCTTAAGGACGCCCGACAATACTCCCACCAGAAGCCGATAGGAAATGGCCAAGCCCAAACCGATACCCACCAACCCTGTAAACCCTATAAGTCGCCCACTCGAAGACACCCCAGTGGTACTCTCCGTTGCTCACATCCGGCCAGCCTTCTTTAACAGCCTGCACACACCCAAAGTATATGAGCAAGGCATGAGTGTGAACTCTGCGTAAGAACCGTTAAAAGCTGCAATTAGCACGTCCGTTGACCAAAAACCAACAGCAGCAGGTACCACACCTCTAACACAGGACATGTGAACATGAAACCTCACTTAACCCCCCTCCCCCCAGTTACCCCGCCCCCCCCCCCCCCGGCCTCAGCCCGGAAAAGCCTTGTAAAGACCTTCAAACATATCCTTCTTTGGTGGGGTCGATCCCGACTTTCGACCTATACAGCCTTGAAGTGCACGTAAGATTTAACTCCCCACCACTTCCAATGAGTTTACCGAAAGGAGCCAACCTTTTTGAGCCCGTTCCTTTGAGAAACACCCAAAGCCCAGGAAGCAAATTGGGGGAGGGGGTTGGATGTTATGAGGATGCTGAACCCACAAACCAGGGAAGGCCTCCCACCAAATGGAGAATAGGGCTTTGGGCACTGTCTAAGTACGGGCAGCGTAGCACAAGTGCTCATACTGTGGATGGACGAAATCCTGCACCACTTGGAAACCATTTGTTGCTGGCATTTAACTACAGGGGAATCGAATCATTTCAGGGTCTTAGGTGGTGCAGGATTTTGTCCATCCACCGGATGTGCTCATAACTGGAAACCAACAGGGCAAGTATTGAAAGTTTACCCTAGGCCGCTGCTCCAAGCGGACGCCGTCAAGTGGATTCTCAGATGCTACGCGTTATCTCAGTTGTTCAGCGACCCTGGCAAAAACGGGAACCCTTGTTGGGGAAGACCATTTCTTGTGGGGCAGCCACCAAAAAAACAGAGGAAAAAGGAAAAAGGGTGCCACTGAACAACTCAGTTATGGACCATATGGATGCCTGGCCACCACCACCCCAAGACCCCGCCTGCTGCACCCGGAGCAACGAAGCCTCATTGAGCCCCGCATCGCGCCGTGGCACCTTCTCTGGCGTTTCAAATCGTCGCGCATCAGAGGAAGACGCCTGCGCAAAGGGTTGGGCCAGCTTTGGTGAGGGGTTCCTTTGGGTTTCCCTTTAGAACAACCAAAAAAACTCCACCATTCAAAACAGGGGTCCCCCCAAATGCTTGGTTCCCTTTTTCCCTTTCAAGACGACCCAAAAGCAGGTCGAAGCAGCATTTCGCGACCCGCGGTATGCCCCTCCTGTTGAATTTTGAGCCACAGCCATATCCCTGGTAGCCCTCGCAGCCGGACGCCCAAGCCAGCGGCCAACCGCGGCAAGCGGCGCCTGCAGTTCAATGGCCTCGCTCGCCGTGCGCTTCTGCGCCATGGCCAGCGTGCCGGATCCGACGGGGAGGAGTTCGAACACCACCGCCGCGACCGCACACGAGGCGTGCGCGAGTCCGGCCGGCGGCACGTGGCGAGCTCTCAAAGCGATCGCGGCGGAGATTGCGCCGCAAAAAAAGGGGGGAAGCCAAGCGCCCACTGGAAGTTACAAGTTGGCCAGACGTTTTCAGGGATTTGCATG